ATTACTAGTTATGGATTTAAGAGGAGATCAAGAATTGGCAGATTTAAAGGTGAAAGAATAATTAAAATGTCTTTTTGGAGTTGTCAGAAACAAGAATTATAGTTGCAAGATTTTGATTTTCTATGGACACAAACAAACATTGTTGGTATTCAACTTCCTTCAAAAGGCTAGGGTTAAAGATAAATTCAACATCAAATGTTTTTTTGATAAGGAAGATGCAGGTGGTTAGTTTTCATACCAAATAAGACATCCATGACAACTTGACACCAGAAGATGAGGATCTTATTTTTGGAAAAAAGAATTTTAGCATTCTAAATTATTGGAAAGGAATATGGCATTTTAGTGGAACCTTGCAATTAGGAGTTGCTCAGTATATAATTCAAAAAGTTCCTAAAGAGGCTTGTGTCTTGGAGTATGGGTGCCATATAATTCTGCAAGTTGGAATGCTCTTGAGTTATTAAAGCATTAGGGTCATATAAAGTCTGGAGGAACACTTGCAAAAAAGGTTGAGATGCTTAAGAAATTTGACCTTTGTCCTCTCCTTTCAAAGATAGTTCCACAAAAGCAAAAATTAGAGGAAGGGTGAGCAACTTCATCTAAGGCAATAGGCAAGCAAAGACTGACATCTCTAAGCTCTGAAGTGGCAATTTTAAGGCTAAAGAGAACCAAAACAAAAGGCTAAGAGAAAAGAAAAAAGGGAAGTAAAAAATCTAAAAAACTTTTTAGTGGAAGCTTGAAGCATAAAATGCCACAAGATATAATAGATGAGGTATTTGAAAAGTAACAAAAAAGGGTGCATGATAAAAGTAAGTATCTTTTATAATTATTATGAAAGGTTATAATATATTTTGAGTACAGATCACAAGCTTACCTATATAGCAAATGAGGTATTTAAAAAACAAAAAAGAGGGCATATGATAAACATAAGCACTTCTTATAATTATTATGAGAGGTTTATAAAATATTTTAAGTACAGATCATCATGACCTCTTTAGCAAATAAGGTATTTGAAAAATGACAAAAGAGAGTACATGATCAAGGTATGTGCTTCTTATAATTATTATGGGAGTTTTATGAAAGACTTTAGGTATAGATTATCATGAGCCTACCTCTTCAATATATAAAGTATCTGAAAAATGATAAAAGAGAGTACATGATAAAGGTAAGTGCTTGTTATAATCATTATGAGAGATTTATAAAATAAATAACTATATAATAAGTTTATTGTTAATAAATTTTATGTGATAAGCATAACACTTCAAAAGATTAAATATTTAATGATGGTTAAGAAAGAAGTAAGTAATATATTTATATAAAAATTTATAACATCATCATTTATTAGTTTCCAGATGATGAGTATAATACTTTAAATGATACTTCTCATAATGAAGATGAAAATGTAAGTGAGTAATTTTTAATAAATAACTATAATTTTGTTATTACTTATAATTTTAAGGTGATAAATATACCACTTCAAATAATACAATCTTGTATGATAAAAACAAAGAAAAAAGTAAGTAATTTATTTATAAGGTTTTATGTAATATTATTATTTACCTATATTTTAGGTGTTACAAATAATACTTTAAAGGATGATAATAAGAAAGGAGAAAAATAAACATACATATGTAATTAAAATTAAAACATTATTATTTACATATATATTTATAAATATTTTATAACAGATTCTCTAATTATAAACAATATAAATTTTGAAGTTCTTAAAGAAACAGAGAATGAAGATAATTTTGGTTAGCTGTTTCACTAATTAGAATCAACTTTTGAGGGTAAAAATTATTTTTTAGTAAATCATTCTTTATGTTTATGTCTAAGTTACAAATGAATTCTTTAACCATTATTCTCTTGTTTTATGAAATTAGTATAAATCACAAAATTTAAAGAAAGATATATAAATTATGAGATGAAAAATATTTTAAGATTTTTTATGTAAGGTCTTGTAAAACATGAATATTTCAGAATCAAACATTATAATTTTATTACACCTCCACAATCTCCTTTACAAAGTAAGTATAATATTTTTTCTATATATATTTTAATTTATAGTTACAAATACAGGTACAAATAATATTGATATTATTTTGGAGACTCCTGATAAGGATATTAGAAAACTTTAATATCAACAGCCATTAATTTTTAATGCTAATTCTAAAGAGAAAATATGGCTTACATTACTTGAAATTAATGGATTATTAGTATCAAAGATCAATGAAGTTGAAGTTGGAGTGCAAAATAATAATATGATAATTAAACATTATAATCAATATTTTGCTATAAGGCTATATACTATCTTATTTCTAAAATATCTTGGATTATTTAAAAAAGATTTTTTACAACTTAGAGTTTGGTCTTTCACTTCTAAACAATAGTTATTACCATTACTAAATTATTTTACTTATGCATAAAAATATTCAAACTTATTCACAATGATATATTAAAATGAAGAAGGTGTTGTATCCCAAGTTGAAGGACATGATGTTCCTCAAGTTGAAAAATAAAGAAAAGGTTGAAACGTAGAACAATACAAAGGAGATTTTTATTGAAGATAAAACTTATTTAATTCAAATGGAGGATAAAATATAAAAATGCCTAATATAGAGATATAATAAATAAATAATACTTTATATCAAGGAGGTACGAACAAAATAATTCATTCTTTATGTTTATCACCATTTGAACTTTCTAAAGAAGATAAAATCTTCAAACAACTTCAAAATTACATGATGTGAATGTTAATTGTGGATAAAGATGCAAAAGATTTTTTATGTGAAAAATTAAAATATAGTTTTCAAAAGAGTATATATGAAAAAAGTGATAAATGGTATATCATATATATATCTGCAAATCCATCTATTTTTCAGGATATAAAACATCTTTACACAAAAATACCATATAAAAAAAATTAAGATTTTACAAGACTTAAAAACATTTATAAAAAACACTACTCATAGTTACAGTTTTCATTACCATAAAATATAAGAAAATGGTTTTTTGAGTTGGTGAAGAAAGGTATACAGCTAAAAATTTAAAACCAAAAACAAAAATGTAACTTATCTCAAAATAAGATCCACATTCTCAAAATCAGATTTTATTTTATAATATTCTTAAGAATTAAATTTAATCTCATTCTTAAGAATATTCTAAAATAGAATCTTATTTTGAGATTGTGAATTCACCAAAATTAATGAATATATGGTTAAATGATATTGATTATAGTTAGCATACTTTGTTCTAAGGACACCATAAGAGTTATTGTACATATAATGTCTTAGTTTCTTTGAAAGTTTAGTTCATTATGAGTAAAGTGTAAAATCTTACATTTTTAAGAATGACAGTATTCTAGTTATTCTATATAATTATAACACAAGTGGTTCTAACACTATTGTAATTCTAAAGTCTCATTTTTTAGATTGACAATCTAAACTATCAAGAATCAGGGAATGAGTTTTTATTATAACACTAATAATACATAAGAGTTCAACTTAGAGTATGGGAATAGCTAGAAAAATGTTATTACTACCCACACTTGGCTCCCATGCTTACCAACATTTTACCCTTCTATATAACAATTGTTATGAGACTCTTCCTTTTGTGGTCTTGAGTGTGATTGAACATGAAATCCCTTTTCTAAATAATGTTCTAAATATTGTTACTAAAGTTAGATTGCCTCCTGTGCTTCAAATGGCTTTGTCAACTTATGCTTTCTTTGGTATTTTCAGGGCTGCTCTAATTCGCCAAAATGCATTTCCCTTGCCTCAAGTGTGAAAGACTGAGAACTATGGAAAAGCTTTTAACGTGTTACCTGGGTATACCCTTGTATAAAATCAAAAGCTCCAGGACCGTCTTTCGTGCCCGTTGAGGAGCTAAAACCACGTGTTCCTTCCATTTCCATTGGTGAGAGCTACTTTAAGTTGGGAGAAATCAACGAAAGTTTGCTTATAATTCACTCGACCTAGCTCTATTGCTTTCTGGAGCCGTTTCTGAGCAATGATCTTGTGCTCGCTAAGCAATCCGGGTTTCTACCAAACTGAAACAAGCAAATAAGAAAAACTTGGAACCACTACATACCCAATGCACTGCTCCATCACAGGTGCTATGGTTGAAAGGTGAGCTAGAATCACCAAGAAGCCTCCTCCTCCCACCTGGTTTTAAATGGTTTGATCAGTCAAGTTTCCTAGCTCTAAGGAACGGAAAGGGAAAGAAATAGAAACGAGCAAAGGTAGCCTCAGTACCTTCTTCTTCTAGCTGTTTGTCAAACCAACAATCTTCCATGAAATGCGAAGCAAGTTGTCACGGGTTACGTACGAGCTCGTTGGTCCGATTCATCCAAGTAAAACCAGCTGAAAGCACCGATCAGAGCTAGTTTTCTGTATGTTCTTGTCAACATTGTACTTGTCTCGTTCCTTTTCTCCAAGGGATTGTTGAGATATGCGCTGGTTTCAAAAGCTCACCTGGAGCCAACTTTAAAATCAAGAGATTTAGTATCTTGACGATGGAAGACCAACGCCTCAAATTCTCTGTTAAAAATCTAGAGCGTTGAACGATTGCTTGAAAATCCCTACGGAGAGAACGTACTGTTAGTAGCCGCGTGCATGTGAATGCCGCTGATTATCACAAAAAAAGGAAAGAGAGAAAAACGTACGCCCGTGGAAGAAAAGAAAAAAAGATATTACCTGCGAGGAAATAACTTTAAGAGTGATCGCTTGCGATCTAATGCACGAATCTGATTGTCAAACGCTACTCGCCTCCCACGCCACAATGAAGCTCCACACCTTGAGGCGGAGGTGGATTTCAGCGGCATTCTGCATTTGTGACATCGTAGCTCTTCAATCCTGCCAGGAGCCGCGAACAAGGCGATAGAAATCGCGGCGGCAAAGATTGGTGCGCCCATTCCCCTGGTAGCAGCGAAAATGGACTAACTATTAGAAATGCCTGAGGAGTTTAAAGGTAAAATACATTATATAGGAAAAACTTGTTTTCTATCACTCTTCCTCCTCAAACTCGCCCTCCTCATCGGCGGTGGCGTCCTGGTACTGCTGGTACTCGGACACCAGATCGTTCATGTTGCTCTCCGCCTCGGTAAACTCCATCTCGTCCATCCCCTCACCGGTATACCAGTGAAGAAACGCCTTGCGCCGGAACATGGCCGTGAACTGCTCGCTCACTCGCTTGAACATCTCCTGGATCGACGTCGAGTTCCCGATGAACGTCGCCGACATCTTCAACCCCTTGGGCGGGATGTCGCACACGCTCGACTTAACGTTGTTTGGGATCCACTCGACGAAGTAGGACGAGTTCTTGTTCTGGACGTTGAGCATCTGCTCGTCCACCTCCTTGGTGCTCATGCGACCCCGGAACATCGCCGAGGCGGTGAGGTAGCGGCCGTGCCGGGGGTCCGCCGCGCACATCATGTTCTTGGCGTCCCACATCTGCTGGGTCAGCTCCGGGACGCTCAGCGCGCGGTACTGCTGCGACCCCCTCGACGTGAGCGGCGCGAATCCCACCATGAAGAAGTGGAGGCGAGGGAAGGGGATGAGGTTGACGGCGAGCTTGCGGAGGTCCGAGTTGAGCTGGCCCGGGAAGCGGAGGCAGCAAGTTATCCCGCTCATGGTGGCCGAGATCAAGTGGTTCAAGTCGCCAACTGCGAGAAAAAGAGAAGATTTCATGATCTCAAGAACTTGCTAGACTACTCACAGGTGGGAGTGGTGAGCTTGAGGGTCCGGAAGCAAATGTCGTAGAGCGCCTCGTTGTCCAGAACCATGCACTCGTCCGAGTTCTCCACCAGCTGGTGGACGGACAACGTCGCGTTGTAGGGCTCCACAACGGTGTCCGAGACCTTGGGCGACGGGAACACGGAGAAGGTGAGCATCATCCTGTCCGGGTACTCCTCGCGGATCTTGGAGATGAGGAGAGTTCCCATCCCAGAGCCGGTCCCTCCTCCCATGGAGTGACACACTTGAAACCCTGTCCAAGGAGAGTCAAGTGCTGCTCGGGGAAAGATCAAGAGTATTACGCACCTTGGAGACAGTCGCAGCTCTCGGCCTCCTTGCGAACCACGTCCAGGACGGAGTCGATGAGCTCCGCTCCTTCAGTGTAGTGTCCCTTGGCCCAGTTGTTCCCAGCGCCGGTCTGGCCGAAGACGAAGTTGTCGGGCCGAAAGACTTGGCCGTAAGGCCCGGAGCGGACACTGTCCATGGTGCCGGGCTCCAGGTCCATGAGCACCGCGCGAGGAACGTAGCGGCCACCACTGGCCTCGTTGAAGTAGACATTGATGCGCTCCAGCTGCAAATCCGAGTCGCCGTGGTACGTCCCGGTGGGATCGATGCCGTGCTCGTCGCACACCACCTCCCAGAACTTAGCTCCAATCTGGTTGCCGCACTGACCACCTTGGATGTGAAGAATCTCCCTCATGGCTGCGAACAAGCTATGAGCAAACAGCACAAGTGAAAGTGTGGTTTACTGAAACTTCCAAGATTCGTGGATGCCAAGAACCTTAAACTCACAAACCGCTGTTGTCCACGTGGATAACGAATTGTTTAGATAGCCCTAACTTTTTCTTCGTTCAAGTTTAGCAACAAAAATGCTTAAATTCTTTATTCCATAAACACATTGAGAATTTTTTATTTGTCTTCGAGGTTGTTCAAGCGTTGTGAGCTTGGTTTAGGAGCCGGATCAATTGAATGGTTCTAATCTCTTCCTAATCCTCGGATGGCTGTGCAACTATGACAGCAATCTCCACTTTGGAGTGATCCTTAGACGACTCAAAAAGTGACTCTTCCACATGGACCGGTGGCTTTTTGACACGGCAGTAGCAAGCATACAAAATCAGCTGTCCGACAGCCAATGCAGTTCCCATGGCTTCGGCAATCTGGCAACCAAAACTCAGTAGATAAACATCAAACAAGTGTGGATTACCGTGAGAAACACGTCTTTCCCCAAAAGGGCGTAAACCGTCCAAGTGACGCAATTGAATAAGAGCGCAAGGGAGACCAGAAGTGGCATATACTCTACACTCTTGGTTTTGATGACCAGTCCCTGGGAAAAGAAACCGAAGCGTTAAAGAGTGTATATAGTCCAAAGAATATTAGAAAGTGGAGGAGGGAATACTAACACGCACATACCATTATCGAAAGTGGTGACGCAAAACAGAGAAGCGCTGCGATCGTGGCGGCTGTTCCTGCAAAGAATTGTCCTCTAGACTTGCCAAGTATTTTCAGGCACGCCACTGAATCAACAGCGAAGATAAAGCCCACGAAGAGCATCGAGAGAAAGAGCTTGATCTGGAAAACAAAGTTGCCAAAAGTTTGAGATTGAAAAACTCTTTCCAGAGGGCTTGCCTTTTGGTAGCGGCCCGTGAATGTAAAGTAGAGGAGGATATAGATTGTTTGGAGTGAGACTTGTGCGATGCAAATGGTTAGAAGCTCGAAATTGTTGGAGGTGATGAAGGGGAGAGCGTACCATCCCCACAAAAGATTGCATGTAAATGACATTAAGTATGGAAGAAACGAGAAATCGTCCGTGGACCTTCGCTTGCAAATCCGCCAGAAAGTTGGGCTAAACATATTTGAATCTGTCAGAGATTTGAAAAAAGGAAGAGTTCTTTAGAGTTTTTTACATTGGAGCGAGGCTGGTTGATATGGTAGCAATATTTCCTGGCACCACAAGGCAACTTGAAGGCGTTAGCTTCCGTTAGTTAAGAAATCCGCGAGAGATTTCTCGTCTTTTTTGCGACTACAAGCAAAGAGATTGCTGATGAAATCGCGGAGAAGAATGATCGAGGAAAGATTCAATCACTTTGGAAGAATGCCACGCACCAGTGACGATCAAACATGGGTTGATTGCACAAAAGAATTTGAGCAACAGAGAGAGAGACAGAGAGGAGAAAGAGAAAGCTCTGGCTGGATTTCTGGATCAAGAACTTCACCTATGATTCCAATGATGAATTTCGCGTGTAATATTTGATCCATTGCTATGATTTTCGAGCCTCCTGAGCAGCGTTAGCTCTTTCAATTTCGCGAGAACATTTGGCTTTAACACCACTTATTTATTCTTGCGCGGAGTCCCTCACTTTGCCCAAAATTAAAGAAAGAAATCCTGCGAGCAAAACGAATATTGTCTTGGGTAGCAAGATAAACTCCCTCTCTCGTGATCGTCGAATCTATTCCTTTACAGGTTTATATAATCCGTAGTGCTCAGTCTTTGGACGGTGGAGAATTTACTAAGAATTTGTACGCCACTACTGGCTTTTGAAATTTAGGGCTCTTCGCACTTTTTTCCCTCCATTTTTGGGAAGCCCTGGGTTTCAGCTGCATTGCTCGTCGGGAGGAAGGCGCTGGGCTGAGAGACTGCGCGGATCGAATGTAGCAGCCGCTCGAAATCAAGGGGTGAGCAGTGCAGCTTCTATGGAGTAAGATTTGGGCTGAGATCAGCTAGGGTTTTCAGGGCAGTGATTTTCCTCGGCTTGAGCTTCAACATGCTACGAACTCATGAATAGGAGGTAAATGCCGAAGAAATCCCGAGGAATTGCTGACTGGAATGGCAGGAAATGCGGATCAAGTGATGGAGCGGTAGAAACAAATTTACATCAAGTTTTGCAGAAGCTTCAGAGCTTATCCACGTCGAAGAATCGTGGCTTCTTTTACTCGTTGCCTGGGCAGCGGCCGGATTTATCTCGGTGAGTCCTGTGCTGTTTTCGTCTTTGTCGTCTCTGAGAAAAAAAACGTTTCTAGGATCTCTATGGCATGCGTGATTCAACCCGTCGATGCGAATCATTCTCAAGCGGCTTCGAAGGTGCGTACATGGATTCTTCGCATGACTCAATGGTTCTAAATTGGTCGTGACTTGGAAAAAGGTGTGGAAAAGCTTAGCTGCGCCACACATTGACTACGTCAGGCCTGGGATTAGTGCGCCGGTTATCGATTCCTCGAGTAATATTTGTCGAAAGCCCTTGGCTTCGGCCGCATTGCCTTCACAGAACCAGACGGTATCTCAGTGCGGTCCGATAGTTGTTGAACAAACTCACGGGAAGTCGGGGGCTGTCTCTAAACATAGTGCTACTACATGTGACTCTTTTGTGGACGATGACTTTCTCGAGGTAAACGAGCAGCGTGAAGTTTCTTTCGCGTCTTACTCTGGAATGCAGGATATTGATCTCGATCAGATTGTCTCAGAACATTATGTGAAGAGCGGCCAACTTAGTGCCACGCCTGAAGGATTACAAGCAACGCAATCAGCTCCTGCCGTTTTTGGTGGCACCCATGCAGGAGCTGGTGCGCAGTTTGCGATTCCGCATACAGGTCCCATACTTTTGGACACGCCACCTGCAGGGTATCCTGCTACTGCTTCGTCGACAATTTGTTTGGACACGCCACCATCGAATACCGGCCCTCGAGATTATAGACGGGAAAACTTTTCTGAAACCCATCATATCCAGAGGCAGTGGTCCAGTCCACCATCGGCTCAGTTCTGTCAACCATATCCTCCTAGCGAAGAAAATCATATTCACAGGCAATGGTCGACGCCCCAGTCTGTGCAACCATATGCTTTTGATGGACGTTTATCGTTGAACACGCCGCGATCCCGTGATTACGTTCGACAGAATTTTTCCGAGGTGAATTATGTTGAAGGTGCTAACGACAGGCAGTGGTCTCGAAGTGATTTTCCTTGGAGCATGGATTTGAAGGTCAGCAGATATTTCATTTTTGTTTATTGTTCTTTACGTCGGCTTTTTAAAGTTTAGGCGAACAACAGAAGATATTTTGGTAACAAGTCCTTCAGGCCAAATCAGCATGAAATAATCAATGCAACCATGAGCGGTCATGACGTCTTTGTGCTCATGCCGACTGGCGGAGGAAAGAGCCTTACATATCAGGTATGCTTTTTTCCATATAAAAATGTTGCTAAATGGTTTTTTCTGTAGCTCCCAGCTATTTGCTGCCCGGGTGTGACTCTGGTAGTCTGTCCTCTTGTCTCTCTTATTATGGACCAAATAATGCATCTCTCACAGGTATACTGCAACGAAAAAAAGGGAATAAATACTCTATCATTTTGTAGGCCAGCATTCGAGCCGAACACCTAAGCTCAAACCTGGAATACGAAGAGCAAAGGCAAATCTTGCAGCAGCTTAATTTTGACCATTGCGAATACCGTCTGCTATATGTGACGCCTGAGAAAATTGCAAGGTTACAACTACATAATGTATACGTGCTTTTCTGACCCAATCATACAGAAGCGATAATTTACTGAGGAACTTGGAGAACTTGCACAGGAGAAGACTCTTGGCACGTATTGTCATCGACGAGGCACATTGTGTCAGCCAGTGGGGTCATGACTTTCGTCCAGATTACCAGGTAGGAAATATTTTGTGTTACATCTAGCTCATGACGTTTTCTTCAATGCGGCAAGAATTTAGGCATTTTGAAGCAAAAATTCTCGGACGTACCACTGATGGCACTTACAGCTACTGCTACAATGAGAGTCAAAGAAGACGTAGTTCAAGCTCTTGGTCTCTGCAAATGCATAATTTTCCGGCAAACCTTCAACAGACCGAACTTAAGGTTTCTTGCTGTGAATGTTTCTGTGATGTGTTGGCTAATTCCTTGCTGCAGGTACTCAGTCGTACCAAAAACAAAGAAAGTCTACGAAGAGATTGACGCTTTCATCAAAGAAAACTATCCTCGTGAATCTGGTATAATTTATTGCTTTTCAAAGATGGATTGCGAGAGAGTTTGCGAACAGCTTCGGGTAAGTATGTTTCGTACTCTTGCAAATTGTACTGAAAGTATCCTTCTAGAAAACCGGTCACAAAATTGGTTTCTACCATGCTAGCATGGATCCACAAGAAAGGAACAGGGTGCAACGTATGTGGAGTAAGGACGAAATCAATATAATTTGTGCCACTGTGGCATTCGGCATGGGTAAGCCCGCATAATACTAAACTGCGTGAGCTTCACAGGAATTTTGACAGGTATCAACAAGCCAGATGTAAGATTCGTCATACATCATTCTATTCCAAAATCAATTGAAGGCTATCACCAGGTACCTTTTTTTTATTTACTTCGATGCATTTTAACGGTTTTTCAACCAGGAATCCGGTCGTGCTGGACGAGACAATCTTCCAGCTTCTTGTATTCTTTACTACAGCTATAGTGACTATGTAAGCATTAGGACAACAGAGGGAATGATTTTCTCACAGAAGTTGTAATGCCAGGTTCGGGTAAAGCATTTACTTTCTCAAGGAGCTGTCGATCAGACTTCTACTGGACGTAGCTGGAACAATTCTGACACTGCGAATCAAATGAAAACAAACTTTGACAATCTTCAAAGGATGGTAAGCTTCGATTTGAGATGATGTACATTCAATTTAGGACTACCACAGGGTGCTTACTGCGAAAACGAGGTGGATTGTCGGAGATCTCTTCAACTTGGTCATTTTGGTGAAAAATTTGACAGCGCATCTTGCAAAAGCACTTGCGATAACTGCTCCAAAGCTGTAAGTTTTGTCGAAGAAGATATGACTCCAGTTTGCCAGCAGCTTGTAAGCTATCAATTGAACAAACTCGGCAGAGGTATTACTTAAACTGTAAATGCAGGTGCAGCTCATCAATGGTCTTGGCCAAAGCTTCACCATGTCGCATGTTATAGATGTTTTTCGAGGTTCCATGAGCCAGCAGGTATGTATGCGTGCTTATTCACGCTTGCTATCATATTAACTGCAGGTTAAAAACGCTAATCATCATCTGCAAGAGCTCCACGGGGCAGGAAAGAGTTTAAACAAAAGTGTCGTAGAAAGGATATTGCATCGACTGGTGTTTGATGAGGTATTGAAGGAAAACATCAACAAAAGCGATACATTTGGCTCTATTTCCTCAATCTTAAAGGTACGTATGTTCAGTACAATTTCAAAGCTTAGGAAAACGTTGACAGGTTAACGACTACAAAGCACGGGAACTATTCGATGGAGTGTGCAAAATCATGATGAAGTATTCTTTTCTTTTGCTTATCGATTAGGGGCTGATACAGTGACCGCGGAAACAGGTTTCCTGCTGCGAAAAAAGCTGACAAACCCGAACGCACTCCCGTGTCGACTAAAAAAGCACCTCTGGCGACAAAGCTATCTGATCCAGAAGATGGACTTTCGTCTTCGAGTTCGGTCTCACCCGTGAGTTCTATAAACTTCTGTCTGGGGCAATGTGATTTACTTTTCCTTGGCAGGCAATTTCGATGGAAGTTTATTCTGCTCTTCAAAAGTTACGAACGGAGATAATGAATGAAATTGGAGGGAATCTTCTTCCGTATCATATCATGGGGTGAGTTTACATTGATATGTAGGAAAGCTGACTTTTTTTTGTGTGTCAGAAATGGAGAGCTTCATCAGATTAGTAAGAGGCTTCCGAAGACCGTAGATGAACTGCTAGAAATCAACGGCATTGGGAAGTACGTTTCACCTAAAACTTCTTCCTTCTTAGCTAATCCTTTCTTGCAAACAGGGTTAAGAGCAATAAGTACGGTGCTCGAATTCTCGAGGTGGTCGATCAAGTGGTACGCGAGCACTCGAGTTCGGACAAAACTCGGAACAAGGTATCCGCGGCGTCAATGCCGAAGCGGCAAAGGGATGCTCCAGACTCGGAGTGGAAAACCACGCGCTCGCCAATCAACTTAGACGAGTTCGCGGAGGAGGAGGACAAGCCGGCAAAGCCAAAGCAGGGAAAGAAGCCTCGAAAGACATCAAAGAAGCCCTTCCAGATATCGGACTCCGAGTCCCCCGACTCTGGAGCAAGCTTCGTGTCCGCGGAGCAGTGACTTAACCTTGGGTTGCGAGATCTCAAGCAACTCAACTGACAAACTTGCGAGATCACACGATGTTCTCTCGGCAACTTACGACGCGAGGTATGTTTTTGCTTATTGTTTTGTAGATTCTCTAACAGTTGGAAGCCAGGATTAGTTTGAGTTAAAAAGCATGATCGCCGATCTCATTATCGTGACGCGGTGAAGGAAAGAACCAAGAAACATTCTTTTCGGGGGCGGGGGTCCTTTTCCAGCTGTGCTGGCCTCCAAACGGCGGGAAAACGAATATGCTTTGGCATTTGCGGCGCGCCGTGCGATCAGGGGAGATCGGGGCCGTTGACTACTAAAGCTGACTAGGACAGCTAGCACGCCAGGTCAGCTTTTTTGTCCCGCCATTCACATGAATGGAGGCTGGTCTCTTTCCTCTTAGTCCGATAATCCCCATTAGTAATGATTAATCGCGGCTGGGCATCCAGAGCTTTTTCCTCGTGCCCACCGCGAGGAAAAAGGTATCCATGCCTCAAATCGGTGGCATATTCATTTCTCGTTAACGCCGTCGCTCTCAGGGTTCTCTCCATTGCTCCAGCCTCCTCCCTCTCGACGACGCCTCTTGCTCGCGGCCATGGCCTCTCCACCCCGGCTCTAGCTAGATTCGTCCTTCTTGCGCCGAAATCCATCGATTCTTCGATTCTTTGCTGATATTTCGATCGATCGCGGCTTGTGGGGGCGATTTCCAGCTATGGCGCGACCGGCATTGCTCCTCAATGCTGCATTGGTCGCATGCGCCTTGGTACTAGTCGCCAGAGCGGGAGATCCGTACCAGTTCCACGACTGGAATGTTTCTTTCGTCAGCACATCGCCTCTGGGAGTGAACCAGCGGGTAAGTGTTTCGAGATCTTTGCAGGCAATGAGATTATCGTCTTCTTTTTTGTGATGTTCTTGGGGATCGTCCAGGTAATCGCGATAAACGGGCAGTTTCCGGGTCCCGAGCTTGAGACCACAACGAACAACAACGTCGTTATCAATCTGCGCAACAGTTTGGACGAGCCTCTGCTTCTTACCTGGTAGGAACATCTCAAACGCATCTTTGCAGCAAATGCCCTGTTGTGGCACTTTGTTGATGAATTTCTTTTGCTTTCTTCTTCTAGGAATGGATTGCAACTGCGGCGAGATTCATGGCAAGATGGAACGCTTGGAACGAACTGCCCAATAATGCCCGGACAGAATTGGACTTACCAGTTCCAAGCCAAGGACCAGATTGGAACGTTTTCCTACTTTCCATCCTTGCTTCTTCAACGAGCGGCTGGTGGCTACGGAGGGATTCGCATCCACAACCGAGCAGTGATTCCTGTTCCATTTGCTCCTCCTTTTGCGGAGCTAACAGTTCTTATCGGCGACTGGTACAAGTTTAATCACACAGTAAGTTCGTAGCTTTTTTGTGTTTCTCCTTTATGTTAAACATGTTTCGTTCTTCCAGCAATTAAGAGCTGCGTTGGATCGAGGGGAGATGATTGGGAAGGGGGATGGCGTGCTTATCAATGGACGTGGTCCTTATGGAACAACCTTGACAGTACAACCAGGTACACAAAGCTTTATCGTTTATAAGCTAACAGATAGACTAACACTGCTAGAATGGTGCAGGCAAAACTTACAGGCTTAGAATCTCCAACGTGGGGAGCGTTTCCTCGCTCAACTTTAGAATTCAAGGCCACAAAATGAAGCTGGTGGAGACGGAGGGATCCTACACGGCTCAAGCACTCTACGACTCACTTGACGTTCACGTTGGCCAGTCCTACTCGGTTCTCATCACCACTGATCAGAGTCCCAAAGACTTTTATATTATGGCAACTTCCAGGTTCAGTCTCCCAGAGATCACGGGTGTTGCAGTTCTTCACTACACAAACTCTTTCTCGCGTGTCTCTGGTCCCTTTCCAGCGGGGCCTGCTGTGGGTGATATAAACTTCTCGTTTAATCAAGCACGTACCATCAAGTAAGTAATCCTGGTATAAAAAATGAAGCTGCATTTCCCATGCCTCACTTCCATTTTGCAGGTGGAATCTGACCGCTGGCGCCGCGAGGCCAAATCCACAGGGGTCTTTCCACTATGGACTTATCAACATCTCCAAAACAGTAAAGCTCGCAAACTCGGCCCCGGCCATCAATGGAAAACAGCGCTTTGCTGTGAATGGCATCTCCTACATGCATCCAGGAACACCATTGAAGCTGGCAGATTTCTATAAGATCGGAGGAGTCTTTTCTCCCAACTCGATCCCCGAGTATCCCGACGGGCGGAGTCCCTATAATGGTGCGTCGGTGCTATCTGGCACGTACAGGTCGTTCATGGAGATCATATTCCAGAACAACGAGAATCCAGTACAGTCCTGGCATATCGATGGCTATGCTTTTTTTGTGGTTGGGTAAGTGTTTTCATCGTTTTTATCTTTTTGTTACTTCGGTATTTGTATTAATTGCTGGACTATGTTTTCTCAGTATGGGACCAGGGGACTGGACAACTTCAAGCAGGCTAACTTACAATCTTGTGGATGCGGTTGCCAGATCCACAGTTCAAGTAAGCTGTTAGTCTATTAATTCGCAAGCTAAGATGTTTTAATCTATGATTTGAAGGTGTATGCCAAGTCGTGGACTGCCATTATGCTGGAGCTGGACAACGTTGGGATGTGGAATGTGCGGTCTCAAAATGTTATAAGGCAGTACCTTGGACAAGAGTTTTACATGCGGGTGGTCAATCCGGAAGATCCCAATGGAATCAACGAGCCAATTCCTCAAAACGTCTTGCTTTGTGGCAAGGCAAAGAAGTGAGAAAGTATAAAAGGACCATATTCTTTTGCTGGGAGATATAATTTGGAGCCTCAATTTTTGCATTGAGAGACCTCTTCTGTGTTCTTGTTCAGGCCTTGCAGTTTGTCAACATCCAGTGTAATATGTGCTACTTTCTTGGCATCGTCTTGTAATTCCTGAAATGTAATATGTGCTGCTTTCTTGGGATCATCTCGTAATTCCCGAAGTTTAATCTCTTCTTTGCTGGTGTCCTTTCTTGGTCTATACAGAGCATATAGAACAAGCTGACTAGTACCAAGGATGGCACCCAGTCCTTCTGAAATCTGGATGGAGAAGAAGAAGAAAAATATTATCAGGAAAAACAGAAAACACATAGAATGAGGAGAGGAAAGTTTACCAGTATGAAGTAGTCAAGCTGTAAAACACCATAGATTGTCCAGGCAACCGAATTGACAAAGATTGAGAAGGAGAGCAAGAATGGCATGTACTCCACACTCTTGGTCTTGATTACCAGCCTCTGTTACAAAGAATTCTTGATCAGTGAGGAAAGAAATAAAGAAATCTTCTTACCATGACAGTGAGAGGAGATGCATACATAGCAACTGTGACAATGGCAGCTGGAAGCCCTGCAAACATGCACCTCTCTGGTCGCTTGTGCATTGCTGACTTGGCTACTGCAATTGTTGCAGCAACTGATGCTGCTACACCGAAAATTGTTCCTGCAACACTTGCCTGCATAGAAACCGAAATATTATATAAGTGCCTTCTGGTATGAAACTCTTTCAGATATGCACCCTTTGTTTTGGTGAGGAGTAAACTAGGAAGATGATGAGGTAAATGAGCTCCAGAACCGCTTGTGCAACTGAGACTGTGAAGAGGAGCATGTTGTGCTCTGTGATGAATGGCAATGCATAGCATCCCCAGTATGCTGCATACAAGAGACCTGTTGCATATGGTAACCAGGAGAATTTTTCTACTGATTTGTTCTTGTAGATCCTCCAGAACGTTGGCCTAAAATTTGAAACGTTTCACCAAAACAACAAACAAAAAAACTTGAGTTTATATGTTGCTTACATTGGAGCCAGGCAAATGGAAATTTCTGTAATGTTTCCTGGAAAAAGAAAACAGCATTTTAATCAGACATTAGAGGCTGGTGATTATGCAGGGCAAACCTATGATGCCGAGTGCTAGTCTGAAAGCAGCCATCAACTCCATTTTGTTTGTGAGAAAAGAGTAGAAGCTCAACGATCTTTGTGAGCTTCTGCTCCTCACAAACTTATTTGTGGAGAGTCTGCCACTTGATATTTATACTCGGAACTTGGAAGGCTCTCTGCTACCGCCTTTGGGAAGAGGTCAAGAAGGTGTGTGCTAGCAGTTCCAATTAAACAGTTGGGCATGCTGTAGCTCTATAAAGAAAAAGGATGCCAACGAATCTACTTTGGATTTGACATATACACCGCCACGCCAGTTTGTGGTACACTTGTTACTACACAATTCATTGGGGTATCTTTCTTACACTCATTCCTGGCTGTCAGGGCGAGGGCGAAGAGAGAGCGAATGAAATTCTTCATGATTTTATCTCGAGTGAGATTCCGATCCAAAGCGTCTCCTCCCCGTACGTTTCTATGCCAAAGTATGTGATCCTCTAGTAAAAATTTGGCTGATAATGCTGGCCATTATTCATTTTAATAGTCAAAAACAGACCTGGCTGATAGATCCTCGTGCGAATATATGGTGTCCTGTGTCCCTACAAAGAAAAGGTTAATTCGGAACAAAACAAGCCGAGCCCAATGTTGTCAAGCGTGAGGAAGCATTATGATATAACACTGATAATGAAATGTTCTTGAGGTGAATGATTGAGCATATACATATAAGCTGTAACACCTGGATGAGAGTCACTATAAGACGTATCTGTAATAGAGCATAGGAAAACTTGAGTTACTTGAAAGGTGAAGCACATTATAGACAACACACATCACCTGTATTTGTGGGGCTCGATTCAATCAATGCAATGATCAATACACATAGAATGCCAAAATGTTAACTAGTAAGTGGGAGTACCATGCCAGCCAGAATCCAGAACTACCACATTAAACTTTTCTATGGATCTCTTGGTCAAACTTTGCAGCGCTAAAAAAGTAGCACCACTATGATATAAATCACAAGTTGTAATGGTTTCTTCTACCCATAACACCAAACTAAAGAGGTTCATGAAAAGTTCTAGACCCTGATCCCAAACCCTGACTCCAGAGAGGATTGCTGTTTCTAGAACACCCGAAAGGCCATAGCCGTCCTTCACATTGTCATCCTTAATGGGCTACAAGAGGGTCAAGCTGTAACCGATCAAAAACATTAAGAATTCCAAACGCAATCCTCATTCCTCAAGAACGACGTCACAGCCCCACTAGTTTTCTTGTTAAAGAAAAGCACATAGTATAATGATTCCATGGGATCATGGAAAAGCATGGGCATATTTCCACTCACCAAGCATCTCCTCCCATTGGTTTGACTTAAAAAAAAAGGAGGATCTTACCACAAGAGTCCTTCCTGGTGGACACGCAGGGCAACAACCACAGACAGCTCGTTGACAGGTTGATGATGCGGAAAAAGCTGGATGTATATTTGTTACTAATTTTTTTCCGAATTGAGAATCTCCTATTTCTGAAATTTCCTTCCCACTATGCTAATATACTATTTATCAAATATATAAATATTATTTTATATTCTTCAATTGGATTTAGCATTATTATATGAGATGTGGCTTGATAGTCATTATGAAAAAGTTTAGTGTATCTCTATACTTTTATTCGTAAGAAAAAACTATGATAAAAAATTGATATTGGTTTTTCAAATTTTGGTTTAATGAATATATGATTACACATGCATTCATTATTATATTTACACATATGCAGATTTTGACTTACATGCAAAAATATTATGCAAACAATCACTTTTAAATTGTTATATAAGCAGTGTGTATAATATTTTTGTCATCAATGTATGCATTGGCATAACACCTTAATTGCCACTCAAGACTGATATTACGTTTTACGTTTTTTGTTTCATTCTTGTGTTATTGAGCTCAAATTTGTGATTTCTTCATTGTGACCATCCTTTGTGTTTATTTCATTTGCCTTTCATTTTGTGTTTTCTTGCAGATCTTAGATATATTTTGAACATAGTTTTGATTGGTCTTGCAAGTGCCTCTCATTCGTTTGAGTAGTGTGGAGGAGATTGCAAAGTCTTTTTTAGCCATTGAACATGGTGGCTTTTCCATGAGCAAATAGATCATACTATAACTTTAGTAAAACATTAGCTGAATTGATTTCCCATGTTTTTAATCACACACACAAGTTTTTGGCATTCAAGTGGTTTGTTGCATTTGTTTTGTTATGTTTGGTTTTATTGTGCAAAAGCTTGAGTTACAAAAACTTCGAAAAGCACTTTCCATTACCTTCAACAAGGAGAGTTCCTCAACTAAATACAAAGTCAAAATTTCGTAAAAAATTGCATATGTGGCATTAACCTCGACTTTGCTATGCATATGTGGCAGGCACTAATGCATGTCTATACATTTGTATTCATATATATGTCTTTCAATAATTTAAGTACATGTGTGTTTTTTTGGTATACCTCCCCCATAATTGCCATCACAAATTTCTTTCTATATACTAATGGTAATAAATTTTATTTTATTAAATATTAATTCAATTTATTAGAATAAGGATGATATATATATATATGTTAGTTATATATACATGACTGATAGCTAAAGTAAATAATGAGCTGTAATAGCTGAAAATTAAAGAAACTAAGTGCTATATTAGTATGACCTTTTTGTATATAGAAACATTTACATATTTTTTAAACTTATTATAAAATAAGCTAAGAGTTATTGTAAATACTAAAATACATAAGTTAGGTTTTAAAATAAATAAATAATAAATAAAACTGCAGAAAAAAAGTCTTAAGAGAGAATTTTTGGTTTGCTTAAGCAAACTTGTAAGGGGGACTAAGATGGTAGTGGATATACCTAAAATATACTTGAATATTTTAAAATATTCTACTATCTAATGATTGTTATTCATTTAGATTAATCTTGTATTTATAATTTATAAACTTTCTTAAACCCTTTCTAATATATTCTTTTTTATTCTATCATCTAATGGTTGATATGCAATAAGATTAATCTTGTGTTTATAAATTACAAACATGCTTATTAAGAAAAGTGACTACCACCAACCATGGCCAAGAACTCATGCATTGTAGGATCCAGCTTAATACATCTTTAGACTGCTTCTTCTACCAAGCCATTGATGATTATAAACTTTATCTGATCAATTGGATGAATAAGTAATAAGCAAACCAAATGTTCTTACATGCAATACATAACAATTTATTTAAACTTTCTCCTAAACTTAAGAAAATGCATAAAGCAATTGAACCATTTATTCTTGGAAACAGTACTATACGCTTGAATATAGAGGAAAGAGATTTAGAGTTCAGTTTTTCTTATAATGATCAACATTGATCAATGTCAGCTGGAACATGGTTAAAGCTTTATCCATTTGAGCAACTAGGATTGCCCAAAATAGCTATCTCAAAAGTTCGTTAGCTAAAGTTATCGAGAGTGCCTTACATGATAACCATGAGCAAAAACTTAACATGTTTTGCCCTTGTCCTCTATATGCCACCGTCAATACTGGACAAAACCTCTGAAACAAGCAAGACACGAGTCGCTGCGGCCGAATCCAAAAATTGACTGGATCTTCTCCCGGTACACTTGTTTGGCTGCTACTTGTAAAATTGACAAGAGACCTGCACCAACAAGTAAAGAGTTTTGATAGATAACTCCGAAGACCTTTGAGAGCTGTCGTACCAGAGCATGGAGTATGGCCAGCTGTAAGATCCCAGCATTGAATCAGCTGCGGTAGATTTCACATGGGACTCGGATAAGCTGATACCATAACGTCTTGTCCACACTGGTTGGTGGAAGCTGAGTTTGACAACGCGCTCACTTTCCTGGATTTCAGCGACAGAGATTTAGCTTATCCACATACAGCAAAGATTGACAATGCCAACCAGAAAGATCTCTCCAAGCGCTGTCATTAACTTCTGGAATCCAGACAGCATGGGCCATTCTCCTCAATTCAAAGCCAGCAACTAAGAGACACCACATAAGAATGTTGAGCAGGGCCATCAAGCACATAGCTGTTGAGAAAGAAGCCACGAAGGTACTAAGCTCCAGGACCAGCTTGCAATTGACAACAAGCAAGCACTTGAATGGAAAGTATATGCTTACGCTGTTTAGTGTGGCGCCCGGCTCCAAAATGTTTCCATTGAAAGCTCGAGCTTGTCCTGCATTGAAGACTCAGTGACTGAATGGAAAACTCTAAGGCATGTAACCTGGTATGGTTCCGAAGAGATCTTCGTGTAGAAGATAATCCCGCGCTGCTCGCCGCGGCGAACGCGCCGGGAGTCGTCCTTCCAATCTTCATCTGGTGTCCAGCAGAAGAGGGTGAATTCCAACCGGGCCGACACTCAAGATGGTGGCTCAAGCAGAGCCTCATTCACCTCGATGCATCGCTTGCAAGCTACGGCTGTTCGCTCCTCCTCCAAAAGGGGAACGACACGCTCTCTGTGCTGGTAAACATAGCTCGAGCTACAGGATCAACTCAGATCTTCTGCAACCATCTGTACGGTAAGAGAGTTAGGAAAACTTACGGCGTGGTAGAACTTACTCGATGCATTGCAAGCAGATCCCATCACTGTGGCCCGTGATCGTCGTGTAAAGCAGAGACTCCTGGAGTATGGAATTTTTGTACACAACTTCAACTGCGACACCTTGCACGAACCGTGGGAGATATACGACGAACAGGGCCACGCCTTTACCACTTTCGCAGGATTTTGGAACCGCTTCTTGCGAACGCGTTTTGAGCCAGACATGCCTGATTCATCACAAGCACGAATATTTCCTTACCGGGGTAAGCACAACAAAAAAAGAAAAAAGCAGAATACCTGGATGTGATAAGTTTTGCAGGAAATCTCCCCACTCCATGTAGTATAGAGGAGCTATGCCTTGAAGATGAGTCCGAGAAAAGTAGTAACGAGTTGCTGGCGCGGACATGGTCCCCTGGATGTAAACACGCAAACGATGCTCTTCAAGCCTTCCTAGTCGCCCCTCTTAACGATTATACCACCAGTAGAGAGACGACAGACAACTCCACCTCACACCTTTCTCCATACTTGCACTTTGGAGAGCTCAGCATCCGGAAACTCTACAATTGCATACGGTCCAAACAGAGAGACGAAGAGCAGCTGTTCTGTCCCCGTCGGAACGCACATCTCTTTCTTCGAGCTATAGGCCTGAGGGAGTACTCCAGATATATCAGCTTCCATTTCCCGTTCACTCAGGAGCAATCCCTGCTGAAAAACTTCCCCTGGAGTAACGATGAGATCCATTTCAAGGCTTGGAAGCTCGGAAAAACTGGTTACCCGTTGGTGGATGCAGCTATGCGCGAGCTATGGTCGACAGGATGGCTGCACTGCAAACTTCGAGTGGTAACATCCAGCTTCCTGATAAAGTTTTTGCAGCTCCCTTGGACCTGGGGGATAAAATACTTCTGGGACACTTTGCTCGATGCCGATTTAGAGAGCGATATACTCGGCTGGAAGTACGTTTCCGGTTGCTTGACCGATGGCCACGAACTAGACCGTGTACTCGATCCTCACGTAAGTAGCACGGAAATGTAGCGCTGAAATTTATATCTCTACGGCTGCAGGAGGAAGGATGTAAGCTTGACTCCAAAGGGGAGTATGTTCGGAGATGGCTTCCAGAACTCAGCAGGCTCCCAAACCAGTGGATTCACCATCCATATAGTGCACCTGTAAGTAGATTACAAGCAGCTGGTGTCGAGCTAGGAACCAATTACCCGAAACCAATTGTGGACATGGAGGTAGCCAAATACCGACTGTCACAAGCTGTTAAGAGTATGCGGGAGAAGAACGCGGTAGAACAAGCCGCAAGAACAGAGGAAGGACAAGATGAGACAAACCCCAGGCCAAATAGCCGGCATAATTTTCCAGCCGCATTTTGCGATCAACTGGTTCCAAGCATATTGACCACCTCTGCGTCACACACACAATTTTCAGGATCAGTCACCAGGGGAAAGCATATTACTTCAAACTTACCATAGTTTGAATGGTGTTAGTCGGGAGTTTCTTCTTCAAGATATGAAAACTTCACCGTGTCAGAACCCATGCCGAAATCACCGGCAGCACGAGCGGAAATGCCTAGCTCACAGCATAGACTCTCAAGCCCAGGCTCGTTGAGAAGGCTGAAGCCACAGACACCGTAGTAGGAATGTAGCATATCCGCATCGTCATGGGGATACTTGCTGAATCCACCTTTCTGCCAGAAGTGTCAGACTGAGATAAAAGCAAGCTATTCGTTCTTCACCTCGCTTTGGCAACTAAGCAAAGACAATCGTAGAGCTTCTCGGTCACAAAGTTCGTAGGCTCCAAGAAAAACAAGGCTGGCCCCGACCCTGTAAGAAAAAGTCATCAAAACGTGCTTCGAAGTGGCGGAAATTCCTACCAGAAAGCGTAGCATGTGTCTGGTGCTTTGTTGATTCTTCCTTGAAAGCCTCCGGTAACTGCTTGTCGCTAGTTGAAGATGGAAAGGATTCAGAAAATCTACTCAACAATCAAGCAGTGGCTACTTTACCTGTAATAACCAACTGGTCAGAAGCGGGAAGTCTATGCCTGTTATTCCCTTTTCAGCAGACTGTCCAATAAGCTTGAGAGCTGCAAGCGCACAGTAGGTAGCACCTCCTTCAGCCACAGAAAGAAAAAGAAAATATCACGCGTAAATGTTCAAGAAATCCTCACCATGAGCCTCTAAACCCGGGCACAATCCAAAACCACCATCATATGACTGAAAACAAAGAAACAAGTTAGCTAAGTCGTCAGCATCCATCGCAAAACAACCTGACATTTGGCTATGTAGTCACAGGCCAGCGGTACGTCCATGCCACTCCAATCTTGAAGGAAAGTGCAAATGGCAGCTAGAAAGGAACGACATCAGCGCAAAGCTTATACTCACAAGCATAGCATTGCTTTGCTCACCTGCGCAGAAGAGGAAACGCGAATCCCTTTCAGCACCCAGATGAACAGGAGTGAAGCTGCCAAGAAAAAGGAAGAAACAATTAGTTCTTCAAGAGAATTCGGTACTACCGTCCATCCGGTTGCTGTAGCGATCGCATGGAACGAACAATGGCATTTCTAGAGACTCGAGAGTAGTCGTCTCCAAGTATCTTCAAAATCGCCAAAGCCGAGTAAGTCATGGCCAGGTGACCACCATCGTATGAGGACTCCACGCCCTGAATGAAAGAATAGAAAACCGAGGTAAGGAAAGAGAAATCAAAAAGAGGAAGAGCAAACGCACATCACGAGACACATAAGTCGAGCGTGATCCAAGAAATCCAAACCTCAAATCTGGATCCACACGGCGATCAAAATTCCAGCGCTCACAACTACTGTTCCAGACCTTTCTCCGCGTACTCATCGAGCTCCTTGAGCGGCAAAACTTGCAAACTATACACCCAATCCACGATCTCGCCAGTCGGAATCTGATATTACGGCAGGGAAAGAGCAATGCTAAGCGCTCGCATTCGCGATCCGAGACAAATACCTGATTCAGGGCATTGAGGATGTCGAGAGCCGAGATCGCGAAGTAGGCTAACGAGAGCGTGTTGCATTCCTGCCCAAGGTAGTCCGCCGACAGGCCGCGGACGAGAAATCCTGCAAAGAACTGGACGTGCGCATCACGATCGAAGAAGGCCATCGCTATAAACCCTAATCTTCTCTTTCTGGACTGACCTTTAAGAAGAATTACACGTTTCATACTCTTGTAGCTTATAAACTCCACTTGTAAGTAGTCACAGTACAAATTTTTTATCCCAATCCTAGAGTTTTGTAAGAAAAGGAGAGAATGAGAGAGATTAAAGAGATTTCAAGAACTTGCCTTGTCAGCCCACGCATTGGATCGAAGATCTTCTAAACGTTGTTGAGTTGCTGCGTCCACAGCGAATGGACGATCATGTTGAAGATGTCATACTTCTCGGGGCTGTTCTTCCACTCGAAGTGGCGCTTGACGTGCTTGAGCCGTGCCTGCATTTCCTTGTACGTCCGCAGAGGGATCCCCGCCAGGATGGCTTTCAAGTTTGCCACATCCTTCTCCGCCACCGTCACCGAGATGCTGTCCCAGTTGATGACTTCGCTGAAAGGTAGCACGAAGTTGTCCGCCAAGATCACCGGCACGCACTCGTTCACGATCGCTTCCACCAGCCTCGGGCTGTTGACTTCGAATCCGGCGGCGCAGATGCAGTACTTGCTCAGCCTCATGTGTTCGCTGTAAGAGATTCGCTCCGCCACAGACGGTGGAAGAACCTCGTAGATTTTCATCTCCGGATCCTTGTCTTTCCAGTGGGCAAGGAGAACTGGCCGCAGCTTGCCGTGCATTTGGCCCGCGAAGAACGCCAAGTAAGGCCTGTCCATTCCCGAAGTGTCTCTGATGATCGGCGAGTGTTTTCCCTGTCGAACTCGTGTCTCCGGCAACGAAACGTCTCTGGATGTGTTGAAGCCTCGAGATGAATCGGCATTGCAGACAACCTTGACGATGTTTCTCTGGCAGTCCTGCTTTTCCAGTGCCATAAGAGCCTAGAGTAGAAACCATAAGTATACAAGATGAAAAGCAAAGAAACAAACTTACCCAGTCGTGGCAAGAGACAAAAAAGTGATCGATCCCGTTTGTGGCGTTCATGTAAGGATACTTCGATGCCAGCCTCCTCAAGTAGCCGGCGATGTAGCTCTGGATGTTCTTCATGCTGTGACTGTTCGTGTCATACATGTAGTCCACCATTTGCTTGAGGCTGAAAGGGATAAAGAACATCGTTGCGATCTTTGGTTCGGTCACGGCGAAGGGATTCCCTCGTTCCATGGTAGCGATGAAGAGCCCTTCGGACGCGTAAATTCCAGTCTTGGGGCCTTCGTGCATCAATGGCTTGTAACCGTCCTTGTAGACAAAGATCCTGAATACCCGTTGCATTGCTTCGTAACTCCTGGAGTAAAAAAGATATAAAAAAATCACGTTTGATCGGTAAATCATACCTCTTGAATCGCGAGATGTTACGATACAAGACCCCATCGTCGTGAAGATCGTCGAGCTCATCCTGGAGATGAAGATTCTCGATCGCAATCTTGGCGCGTTTGAGCCGCTCTTGCCTCCCCAGCGACCAAAACCCGCTCTGGCGGCCGAAATATTTCAAGATCGATCGACAATGGGGAGAAAGAGACTTGCACGATTACCTCGAAAATCTCCGATCCCTTGACTGTGAGCAGCCGCCCGTGGCCAGCGCTCGCCGCGATCGATCGATTATCTGGCAGCATTCCCCCCTTGCGGCAATCGGTGTAGCACGGCCTGGCGCCGACGAAGGCGATAATCGTGAAAATGCAAGTGATACAGAACACCAGCAAGGCCCAGATGAAGTGGCGGCGCCATGCCTGGCCCCCAATCCAGCTCCCAAACACGATCGCAGCCTCTGATATCATCCTTTTCCGGTCGCTAACCTGATCGAGCAAGCACACACACGACCTTTGCGTGGATGGGATTATCAAAGATCTTTCCGGAATTCTTTATACCTCGCGGCCGGAGCGCTCACAATCCCATCGTCACACATTAGAACCCTAGCATAGAGGCGCGGGAGCGCTAAAGATTTAAAATCAGTCCAAAGTGCCGTACTCCCTCTACTCAAACCCGTACACATACGAATATACTCAAGAATCCGCATCTTTCTATTCTCACAAGTGGGATATACTCTGTTTAAATCTTTTCAGCTAGATTTTCCTTCCGGGAGCGTTGTATCATCTTCCGGCCTATAATCCTCTTCTTCCATCACGTCCGCCACTTCTTCCTCTTGGCCCTGTTCGTCCTGGAGCTCTTCGTTCTCGTTATCGATTTGCTCGCCTAGATTGCCACCGGCGGCTTCTTCTTCCATCTCTTTGTCACCGCCCTCGAATTGGATCCTCTTCCTGTTTCGAGCAGCCACGACTCTATCAATGTCTGCCTGAGCTTTGGCCAGAAACGTCTCGGTTATTTGCTTCTGGTACTCGTCCAGCTCTTCCCGGCACTTTACCTTCCATTCTTCGAAAGCCTGAGAGGAAACGTCACGTCTACCCGAAACTTTAGATGATATACCTTTCGTTGCTCTTCCAGTTGGTGTTTGTCACGCTCTGTTTGCTTTACTGGAAGATAATGTATTCCTGGTTCTGCTTTTGTCCTGAGATGAAATGAACAGTCAATCGCTCTTTCACCGGCAGAAACGAACGAACTCACTTTAGGAACGAACTAACTTTGCTCTGGTGTGCTGTCCATTGCATGTACAGCAGCTCGATTTGCTTTTCTTCCGCCTTGGCAGAGATTTTTGCTCGAAGCATCTGCATGGAAAAAGGCCTCGCATCAGAGATGCAAAAAACAACGGCTCTTACCAAATCACGTTTTCGCCTTTCCGTTAGGTGCTCCCGCTCCTCTTGTCGCAACTTATCGCTTTCTTCTTGAGCCTTTTGTACAGCCTGCATTCCATACGTACTTTTGTCAATCGGCACCGAAGTAAAAACAAAGACGCTTACTCTTTTGAGAGAGTCCGACCTCCGCATCACTGATTCCGAGTTTGACATCTCTTCCTTTCTGAATTTCTACACAGAAGAACGCAGCAACTAGTTGAGAGTCGCTCTCTGAGTGAAAAAAGATGAAAGAACACATTCCTAAGAGAAAGCTTAAATAACAGGCAAGCATGAGACAGGAAACATAACGACAACGTTCTCCGAACTGCAATGAAACCCCAACCTGGACCAGAAACACAACAAAGGACCTAGTAAGCATTCAAGAAAGATAGCCATCCATGCAAAAGTATACCTCTAAAGTTCCCAGAAGAGCGCCAAACATTCTCCTGTTTCGCTTTGCAAGTTTGGGGTCGTCCACTTTGGAAACAGTTTTGGGAACTGGCTCGGTTCTAAATTCTTGCGCCTGCCCCTGAAGAAAAAGAAAGATAGTATGAGAGGATTAGAGAAACTATGCCGGTTCTTACTGTAAGAAAGGGCTCTCTTCTTCGTCCACGGGGGGAAGACGTGCCAGTTTCTTTTGTATGAGCTTCGACCGAATCACCATTAACCTTTTGAAAGAAAACCATGAGAATTTTTTTTCTCTTGTAGCACCACCGTACCTTAACAACAGAATGTAGTCTCTTCGTTGGAGGACCTTCCAAATCACCATCAGCCTGAACAGAAAGACAGGCTGAGAACGCAAGTGACCTAACAGGAATTTCTCCTACCTTTCTGGTTCTTCCTCCTCGACCGCCCCCTCGCCCGCCTACAGCTCTCGAAAATCCACCCCTTCCAAGCCGCCTTCCTCTTGGATTGTTTAGCCTCTCATTTATCTGAGAAATCAAAATCCAGGCGCTCAATCCTGGCGCCAGCGCCGCGACACCGGAATTACCTCTCGATTCTGCCGGTAGAGCTCCGCAATTTCGTGCCGCAGCTCGTCCACCGTCTTGTCCACTGCCGCACTCGCCATACCTTGGAGCTAGGGATTACAAAATTTAGGTCACACCCACGGTACAGTAGCTGAGAGGATTCGATCGGCGCTGGGCTCTTCCCTGTGATAAATAAGCTTGTTAACTCCCTACTTTTACCGAGCATCTGCGTGAATCAGTTGATTGGACCCTTCAAATCATGGCAAGGATCTTTCCGCAGCTGTGGAAAGCATATACCTTCCCTCGAACAAACTTCACCTAAAAGGGCAGGGGTTAAAGCGCAAAAGGAGGAATTCGATTCAAACGCGGCCTAGGGTTTGGGTTTGCGAGCGAGCGAGTGAAAAGGATCCATTGGCGGAGCGCGCCTCTTCGCGTCTTCCACAGCTCTCCGTGATTCACAGGTTCTAGGATTAGGGTTTTGGAGGTATGTGGAGCTGGGGAGGCATCAGGGAAATGGCGCGCCAGGCCGATTTGCAGGAGCTCGCGCAGACAGTGTTTGTAGCTATCGTCTTCGCGTTTATGCTCTCCAAGCTTCTATCGATGTTTATGGCTATCAGGAGCTCGATGAGGGCCGGGAATATGAGGGTGGAGCGTTTGTCTCCAAGCGAAGAAGCTCAAGAGGGAAAGGATGAAAGAGGTGCTTCCAGCTCTTCCGATGAGAAGGAAGAGAGCATACATTCTGTGGATTCCGAGGGTGACAGGGCAGACATATCTGGATTGAGCGAAGGCAGGGCGGATTTCTCAGAAGTGAGCGAGGGTGGTGGGCTCGATGAGGCTTCCGGCGCTGGAGTTGGATCGCCAGCGCCGATTATCAAAAAGGACGAGGTCGTAGAACAGGAGGCGATCACAGGACATCAGAGCTTGGCGACAATGGAAGCTGGCTACGAACCATCTACGAGCTCTTCCGTGGAGGCGGAAGCTGGCTCCAACAGATCGATCTCGGCCATGGCGATGGACGAAGATGATGACGGTTCCTCCGATTGGGAGGGCGTGGAGAGCACGGAGTTGGATGAAGCTTTTGGAGCTGCGTCGAGCTTCATAGCAACTCAAGCTGGCGGTTTGAAGGTTTCCAGTGAAACTCAACTCCAACTGTATGGACTCTACAAGGTGGCGACGGAGGGTCCGTGTCATACTGTGCAGCCATCGGCACTGAAGATGACTGCTCGCGCAAAATGGTATGGATCTTCGCAAAAATGTCTCTCTTTTTTTTAGCGCTGATGGGAGATTGTTTTGAAGGAATGCCTGGCAGAAATTGGGGAACATTAGCCAAGAGGAGGCTATGGAACGATACGTGGAGCTTGTTTCAGAACTAAGTCCGGATTGGGCGAGCAATCAGAAAGTAAGTCTTTGGCTTTTAAGAACTTCAAATGAGCATTATACTTTTTCTCAGAGCAAGGGCAAAGAAGGAACGTCCGGAAGCAAACAAAAGAAAGGTCCTGTTGGGCCTGTCTTTAGCACACTAGCGTACGATGAAAGGAGTGACGACGGGTAAGTCCACTTTGCATATCGCTTCCCCCCGTCGATTAAGAAAGGCGATGGCTCGTTTTAAGTTCGTTTGTCTTTGTAGATCGCTGGATGCCCTCCACATTGCTGCTCGGGAAGGCAACGAGCCTGGTCTCTTGGAACTTTTAAGTCAAGGCGTCCCGGTGGACGTCCAAGGTAGGATGGAATTTTTCCTACACGGCGCCTCTTTTAACTTCAGAAGAATTTTCCAGACAGCGATGGCCGCACGGCCCTTCACTGGGCATCTGACCGTGGACACTTGGGACTTGTGGAATTGCTGCTTTCCAGAGGAGCAAAACTTCAAGCTAAGGTACAGATATTTGTATAGAATCTGTCTCTTACGTGGAAAAAATGGTGTTTTTTTTTTTTTTTTGGCCTTTCCTTTCTCTTTTTCAGGACAAGGAAGGCCAGACCGCGCTACACTATGCCTGTGTTTGCGAGCAGGAGATGGTTGCCAAGTTTTTGATAAGCAAAGGGGCAGACCTTCAAGCTAGAGACGCCGAGGGCTCCACGCCGTTGAATTATCGCCCAGCCAACTGGGACTGGATGAACGAATGAAGTGTAGCTCAGGGTCAACAAATAGTTATTTCCAGTCTGATGTCAAATAACACAGTGTACATAACGTATGAAATCTGGTTTCATTATTACTATTGTGTTCATCATCTTTATCTTTTTTCTTATGTTATCTTTATAATTACAGAAAACACAATTTAAAGTTTTAATTTCTTTTAGAGATTCTTACAGGCATTCCATGAACAGGGCGAGGCATTGGATCGATGATCACCTGTTCGTTGGGTTCCAGGAGCTTCCAATCGAACTGGAGAACACAATAGTGCAGGAAGACGAGGATTTCCATCTTTGCAAACTCAGAGCCCGGGCACATCCTTGCGCCTGCCCCAAACGGGAGGAAAGTGTATGGAGCAATTGCATTCCCTCCATCAAAGCGAGATGGATCAAACTTGTTTGGCTCCACGAAAAACTCTGGTTTCCTGTATGAGGTAGCAGTGGTCCAATTGAGCTGTGCAAGATAATTTCAGTGTAAGATCTCCAAAAACTTTACCAAGAAACTTGCCTTCCATCCCTTGGGAACGACATATCCATCAAACTCCAAATCGACGAGAGCCTCGCGGAAGCCACCGCCAACAGGAGGCCTCATCCTCATGGATTCCTGGACCACTTGCCATGTATACTTTAGCTTTCTCAAATCCTCCCACGAAAGCTCGGAAGAACTTCGCGAGTTTCGAATCGCCAAGTTTTCTGCCAAGAACAACAACAACCAATTCATGTCAGCCAAACTGATCGGATCGAGAGGAGCAAGGATTGATACGAAAACCTTGCACAATTTTGTCCATGCAAGAGGGAGAATCCGCCAAGAACTTCAATGTCCAGGTAAGAGCGACGCTCGAAGTATCGTGCCCCGCAAAGAGCAACGAAACAATGTTGTCCTTGATTGCCAGGTCCGTACTGAACTCTCCATTCTCATCCCTGGTCGTGAGCAATACCTCCAACATATCCTGCTCATGAGATCTAGCACGAAAACTTCCCGCAATCTCTCGTCTCTTTTCTCGTATGTGGCGATCAAAGCACTGATCGAGCTTCTTCCTCGCAGCTTTGGCTCTGCAAAACTGTGTCCCAGGCAAGTCGATGGGGAGCTGGAAGAGCCCTCGCACCAGCGTATCGAAATCTCTGGCCAGAAACTCCATCTCCTCGTCGCCAATGTCGAGGCCCATGAGCAAGTCGCAAGCCAGAGCGAATGTAAACATCTTCATGAGATTGTACACCCGGATCACCTCGTCGCCACCGCTCCAGAACTTCTGGAGATGGTCGTGGACGACCTTGCACACCCGACCCACGAACTTTTGGAGCATCTCTGGCCGGAGAAACGTCATGAGCAGAGCTTTCGATCGCCGGTGCTCGTCACCTCGCAGCGCAATGAGGGAATTCTCTCCCAGAAGAACGCTCACGGACTTTGGATACGAGACACTGACGAGCTTGTTCTCGTTCATGAGGATGAGCCTGTTGCCCTCCGGAGCTGGAAGAACCACAGTCTTGGAGCCAAAGAGCGACGTCTTAAACACGGCGCCATACTTTGCAACTCTCTCGTCGTAGAAAGTAGAGCCGGATTGGACAGCGTACCTGAAAGTTTCTCCGATGAGCGGCCATCCCAAGTTTCCCGGAGGAATTTGAAGAGCTTGAGCAGGAGTTTCTTTGCGGGAGGCGACGACGAGATTGAAGATCCAAAGGAGTGGAGCTACGAGAAAGAAGAGCAATGCTACCATAGCCAGCAGCTCCATTATGTGCGGTTCGCCTTTCGTGTCAAGGAAATATATATAATATCGCAGTGTCAACACTTTTGAAACATTGTCTATACCTCTCTTTCTCTCTCTCTCTCTCTCTCGGGGGAAAGAATGTTAAATGCTTTTGGCGGCTTGCACAATGCCTGCGGTAAAGTTCGCAAATCTGAAACCAGAATAGTATTTCCTGCCTTTAATTTATAAGGTTTAGAACTAACACTGGTTTATGTATATTATGCTTTCAAACGCAGGCTTGCTTGACTTGGGCGGTCCGGTCTTTCCAAAACTCTTTCTTTATATCCAAGTCAATGATGTTGCCATATAATCTGTAGAATTTCTTCAAAAATCATACTAATTTTAATTTGGACGACAGGGTATCTTATTTTGTGTGACAAATCTTATCTCATCGTAACAGCTGCGTAGTAAATTCTCGCGTATACGCCAACTCGATCGACACCTGGTTCGACACCTGGAGCTCGTTACCATCCTGCAAAATTTTCAGTGCTCGTGCGCAGACTCGTGAAACTTGCGTGAAATCTTAAATCTTTCGATGGATAAGGCTGGCGACTAGCCGCGTTCGTGTTTTGAAATCCAGCCAGGCAGGTCATGGGCGATGGATGCAAAGCTTGCAAAAAAGAGAGATCTAGCTTTCCATCGCCGCCTCGTTCTCCTCCTTTTCCTCCTCCGACCAGCTTGCGATCGATTGCGAAACTTCGCCAAACGCTCCATTCCCATACGCTAAGAACCTTAAACAAGCCCAAAAAAATGTGGTTAGAAGGTGGCTGGCTGTTGGCAACCATACAAAATGCAAACGTACAAAGTAATTTGGCTCCACCAGCTGGTGTTTTCGTCTAAAAGTCCACACTCAGCTCCAAAAAATTATAGCGGCTAAAAAAAAGAAAAAAGATTAGTCTCGTCAAAGCTTGATAAGAGAGGAATTTAATGTCTTGAAAGTCTTTGGGAACGCCTTTCTTTTCAGCGAGGACGCTCTTCCTGTTTTTTTGGTGGTTCCTTGAGCGCAGCTATGGCGGGAGGAGCGTTGCTCTCTTCGCAAGGCGGTAGATCTGATCAGTACCAAGGACGAACAACGATCTATGTGGTGCTCGCCTGCGTCGTCGCCGCTAGCGGTGGTCTCATCTTCGGCTATGACATCGGAATCTCCGGTAAGCTCGACTCCTCCAGAGCTCTTCTTCTCTTTCTTTAGATCTTGGGGAGAAAATGTCTGGAAACTTTGATCGCTTGGCTGAAATGGAGATGTCTATCTACAGGGGGTGTTACATCCATGGACGATTTCCTGGAGAAATTCTTCCCCGTGGTCTATCGCAACAAGCAAAAGCCGGTGAGCGGCAATGCTCACTACTGCAAGTATGACAACCAGGGGCTCACCACTTTCACGTCCTCGCTCTACCTGGCGGCGCTCATCGCCTCGTTCGTGGCGGCGTGGGTGACCAAGCGCTATGGACGAAGACCCTCCATCTTGCTCGGTGGTCTCAGCTTTCTAGTCGGGGCCGTGCTCACTGGAGCCGCCGAGAACATCGAGATGCTCATCCTCGGGCGAATCATGCTGGGTATTGGAGTTGGATTTGGAAACCAGGTAAGCTCCATCTTGTCAGCTTAAGATCTCGCCAGAGATCTCTTTTTTATGTTGCAAAAACTTGAATTTTTTTTTTCGTGCAGGCTGTTCCTCTCTATCTCTCCGAGCTCGCGCCTGCCAAGATCCGGGGAGCCATGAACATCATGTTCCAGCTCGCTATAACAATAGGAATCCTCTGCGCCAATCTCATCAACTATGGAACCGCCAAGATCCATCCCTGGGGATGGAGGCTCTCGCTCGCTCTCGCCGGAGTCCCAGCAGTTTTTATGACTCTGGGAGGATTCTTCCTCCCGGACACTCCGAACAGCCTGATTGAGCGCGGGCGCCACGACCGAGGAAGAAAAGTCCTGCGGAAAGTCCGTGGAACCGAGAAGGTGGATGTCGAGTATGAAGATATCGTGGAGGCAAGCCAGAAAGCCAACATGGTGAAGCATCCATACAAGAATCTCTTGATGAGCAAGAACCGGCCGCAGCTCGTCATGTCGATCCTGATCCCCTTCTTCCAGCAGCTGACCGGGATCAACGTGATCATGTTCTACGCGCCGGTGCTGTTCGAGACCATCGGGTTTGGACACGACGCGTCGCTCTACTCGGCCGTGATCACCGGCGCTGTCAACCTCGTCTCCACTTTCCTCTCGATCATCACTGTGGATAAGTACGGGCGGAGGCTGCTGCTGCTCGAGGGTGGCGTCCAGATGTTCTTCTCGCAGGTTGGTTATTTTTTATCCTCGCGTGTGTCCTGTGTTTGATCGATCGCTTGGCTTCCAGATCGTGATTGGGATCGTCTTGGGAGTGAAGTTCTCGTCGAGCAGCAACATCCCGAAGGGCTGGGCGGCGTTCGTGGTGGTGCTCATCTGCCTCTACGTCTCGGCCTTCGCGTGGTCGTGGGGTCCTCTCGGCTGGCTCATCCCCAGCGAGATCTATCCCCTGGAGACGCGATCGGCCGGGCAGAGCATCACGGTCTCGGTAAACATGCTCTTCACCTTCGTCATCGCGCAGGCCTTCCTAAAGATGCTGTGTACCTTCAAGTTCGGCGTGTTCCTCTTCTTCGCGGGATGGGTGCTCATCATGACCATCTTCGTCTACTTCTTCGTGCCCGAGACCAAGAACGTCCCGATCGAGGAGATGATGCTGGTGTGGAGGAGCCACTGGTTCTGGAAGAGGATCGTCCCCGCCGATGACACCGAGTTCGTCAAGCCCGGCGGCGGCGGCGCCGACCCGGAGGCGCCCGAGAGCCGCCAACACCTCCAAATGGCCGAGAAGAATGGCCCCGCCATGGACTAGCCGCGCCGCCACCCTTGACTTATCTCCCTCGCTGTGAATAGCTTAGTTTTGAATATCGGTCAATGCCGGTCTTGTCAATGTTGCTTTCGCGCTCGCAAATCTCGAATAGAAATATCTTGTCCGTTGACATTATAGTAAACGGTCAGTCATGTCATTATAGTCAACGGCTCATTGACAAGTATATTCTCTAGATGCCTCTAGAGTTTTCGTGCTGAAAAAAGAAAAAGAAAAAGAAAAAGCGTACAGTACACCTGTAAGGTACAGTGTATTGTGTGTCTCATGGTCAGTGCGAATCGTAGCTATTTGAGATTTGCTCATTGCCCTGCGCAGCGATATTTCACTTCCTGGCGAAGAAAAGAGGGATAATCTCTATCCAGAGTCGCCGATTTCGCAATGAATAGGTCAAGCCCATCTCCCCTCTGGTTGGTGACTGCCTCTTCCTTCTCTTTGATTTCTCCATGGTTTTCTATGCTCGAGACAGTGACTCCATAGCCACCAGGAACACCATTTGCTTTGCTTTCTGTCTCACTGAGTGTGGTTTGCTTTTTTTTCTCGTTTCTGTGGGCCTCTATAGAAGAGCCGAGAGAGATCATGCTTGTAGTGGGGGTGATTCGGGATTTGATCGCGAGCGCCGTGTGTTTCTCCCTGGCGATGGGGTCGCTCGCGTTTCTGGAAGGCTACATTGCGCTCCAGATCGCGGTGGCGGTGCTGGGATTGCTGCTGCTGGTGTACACGCTACTCAGCTTCGCCGCGCTGGATCGCATTCTCCACGATGATGATCACGACGCCCACGTCGAGGGTGGTTTTGATGATGTAGCAGGATCGCTTGATCACCAAGATCACGATCATTCTCCTGGAGAGGAAGCGCTCAAGGTCTTCCTCCAAGAAGAAGAGGAAGATGGGGAAGGAGAGCAAGGAGAACAAGGAGAAGATCGAGCGGATCACCAGATGAGTAGCTTTGTTCACAAGATGGAGAGGATTGGTGGGCGAACGTTTCCTCCGTCTTCGATCAACGAGGCTTGCACGATCTGCCTGGGAGGATTCGAGGAGAATCCTGGCGGCGGCGGGAAGGAATCGTCGAGGAGAATGTTTCGCGGATGTTCGCACTGCTTTCACTCGCGCTGCATTCGAATGTGGCTCTCCTTGAATGCGTCCTGTCCTCTTTGCCGAAATAGGCCGCGCCAGGGAATATGCTCGTAGAGGCAGGAGCATATTCCTCTCTATTAAGGTTTAGTGTACCTACATTAATCATTAAGTGTACTTAACGTTTTTTACTTTTTCAACTTTTCCCCCTTTTCTCACTTTAGCTGAGATTTCGGGTAGATTTTGCGCTGGATTCGTTCTTCTGTCTTCCAGCAATCGATCCATTCCAGGAATCTGAGCGATCTTAGCTCGGATCAACGCGATCCATCCGTCGTGCCGCGCTCGATGATCGGCGACTGTTCCAGGTAGTGATTAGGGTTCTTGCCGCCTAGCTGCTAGATCCGGGATAGTTCTGGGATGGCCAGGTCGAAACGATTCCCCGCGCATTCTCCCAGGTTTGTGATCGGCATTCTCGTGGCCTTTTTCGTGGTGGCCGTGTGGATTTTCCGGGGAAGATCTGGTCTGGTCGAGCAGGATGTGGTAGGATCTGGAGCTGCATTGCGGCAGAGCGATGCCAGAGAAGAGATTGGAGACGAGAATGACAAGATTGGAGGAATGGATGAGAAAGTGGAGAGGAAGGAGCAGGAAAATCAGCTGGCACAAAACGATGAAGATGAAAATGAGGATGGCGAAAAATCTTCCAGTGGTGTGGCAAAGGAAGAGGAAAGATCTTCCAAGGAAAGTGAAGATAACAAGGCACTGGATGATGGAAAGGAGATCGATGGCGACTCTCAGAGTTTGCAAGAGGAGAAAACTTCCTCCAGCCCGGGTGATAGTGATAGTGTATGGAAACTTTGCGCTGGAAACGCTGCGCAAGACTACATTCCCTGCCTAGACAACGAAGAGGCTATCAAGATGCTACCAAGTAGACACCATTACGAGCACCGGGAGAGGCACTGCCCTGTGCATGAAGATCTCGTCAGTTGTCTCGTACCGCTTCCAAAGAACTACAAACGGCCGCTGCCTTGGCCTCAAAGCCGGGAAGAGGTTGGTTCATTCTTTCGTCTTTTCTGTTCTTGTTGCCATTGAAGTTTTCAGTCCGTGTAGCTTCCAGATATGGTTCGACAACGTCCCCCATCCGGGACTCGTCACGTACAAGAAAGACCAGAGCTGGGTCAAGAAAACTGGAAACCGGCTCACATTTCCTGGGACTGGCACTCAGTTTATTCTTGGAGCCGATCACTACATCGACTACATTCAGAATGTAAGTTGGTCTTTTAGATGTCTGGTTAAAAATGTGATCTTTTTTTCTTTCGCTAACTGATATCGCAGACGTTGCCGGATATTGAGTGGGGAAAGCACACGCGTGTGGTTCTAGATGTTGGCTGCGGCGTTGCGAGTTTTGGTGGCTACTTGTTTCGCAAGGACGTGTTGACGGTGTCTTTTGCACCGAAAGACGAGCACGAAGCACAGGTTCAGCTAGCTCTGGAACGAGGAATTCCTGCCATCTCGGCTGTGATGGGAACGCAGCGGCTGGTTTTTCCAGCCAATGTCTTTGACATGGTTCATTGTGCTCGGTGTAGAGTGCCATGGCATGAAGATGGTAAGTTCGCCTTGTACTTTCAATGGCTTCTAACTAGTACTTGTCAGGAGGAAAGCTGCTTCTCGAAGTAAATCGGGTGCTCAGGCCTGGCGGTTACTTTGTGTGGTCTGCCCCTCCGGTTTACCGTACACAGCCGGATCAAGTTCAGATCTGGAAGAGTATGCCATTTAATGTTTGCCTTGCTGTTCTGTTTGTCACTGAGCAAAGTACTATTTTTTTTTTTCAGATACATCGTCCCTAGCGGCATCAATGTGCTGGAACAATCTAGCAAAAACTACAGACGCTGCCAGTGCTGTTGGCGTTGCAATATTTCAAAAGCCCACCAACAACTTGTGCTACGAGAGAAGAAGAGCGAAACTTCCCCCACTTTGTGAGGAAGAAGATAAGCGTGATGCCGCATGGTAAAAGTTCCAGAATACTATAGAAGAGTTTCGTGTGCTAACAGCAGCATGACAGGTACATTCCTATGAAAAGCTGCATTCACAAGGTGCCTGTCACGGAACAGGAGCATGGAACGAGCTGGCCTGAGGATTGGCCACAGCGTTTGCTCACGCCTCCAACTTGGCTCACTCGTGTCTCCAAAGGCCTTTATGGCAAGGCTGGTGACGAGGAGTTTAAGTCCGACACTCAGCATTGGAAGAACGTGATGCAAAATTCGTACCTCAAGATGAATTTCGACTGGAAGAACATACGCAACGTTCTGGATATGAAAGCCGCATATGGAGGGTAAGTTTCTTTCTTTTTTTTTCGCTTTTTGCGCTCTCATTCTTACTCTGGCTTTTGTGTGTCACTGTTTCTTCCAGTTTTGCTGCAGCCTTGGCGTCGCAGCCAGTTTGGGTGATGAACGTCGTGCCTATATACGAACCGGACACTCTGCCTGCGATTTTCGATCGGGGCTTGTTTGGAATCTACCACGACTGGTGTGAATCCTTCAGCACATATCCACGAACGTACGATTTGATCCATGCTGATCACTTGCTAACGCGACTTACGAAAAGGTTTGTTCTCCTTTTCCTGCAGTTAACAAGCTTTGATTGTTTTATTTTCCAGGTGCAATACCACAAATACGCTTGTGGAGATGGACAGGATTTTAAGACCAGAAAGCTACGTCATATTTCGCGACAAGGTGGAAAACCTGGAGAAGCTCAAGCCAGTGATGGAATCCTTACATTGGAAAGTTCACACCACGCATACCAAAGGCCTGGAGGAGCTACTAGTTCTTCAAAAGCAATGGTGGCGGCCTCAAGCACAAGCGTGAGTGATGATTTTATTTTCTAGTGTGATTTTTTCACTCGATCTGTGTACCCTTTGGAAAGAAAAATGAAGAGCATTTCATCATATCTCCTCGTATCTATCAACGTGGACTGGAAATCCTTTGTTGTTGCTCGATTTGAGCATGGCCTCTATCACAGCAACGTCGTGATAAGCTTCAATAAAATTGCTGCGTTTATCAGCACTCTCTGCAGTTTTTCCCTGGTAAAAAAACAAAAAACACAAGCTGCAAACTTAGAAAGCTTGAGAAACTTAACCATTTACCTCATAAACAATCTGGGACACGTCTCCTACGAACGCCTTAAGTTCGTTCTCCACTCCAGAGAACGGAAAGAACTTGCTAAGCACGGTTCCTCCCAGAGGATAGAATGTTACCTGCGGAAACAAGAGATTTTGCTCGTGAATTTAGAAACACGCAAGACCCTTGGAAGAAGGAAATGAAAACCAACCAGGTAACCATGACTGCCATCTTTCTGATCACGAACAGCTTCTACAGTTCCTTTGGATCCCAAAACTCGCCAGCTTACCTTTGGGAAGTAAAAAAAAATCAAGAATCTCAGCATTGCTCTAAAAGAATATTTACCTTTCTCGCTGTGCAAGAGTATGACATAACAAGAACACCAGCACACTCATTCTCGAGCTGCCTGCAAGAGAAGAAGAAGAAGAAAAACAGAGAGAGAGTGATTCAAGATAAGCAAACTTCAAGAAAAACAGGCGTACAGTAGAGCAGATACGTTGTCCGGGGAAGGCAGCAGTGGATCAACGTGGCGAGCAATCGCTGATACTTGAGTCACTTCACAACCTGTGATCTATATGGGAGAGTTTTAGCAGCCAAAGTTCAAAAGGAAATAGAAAGATGTTACCAGGCGCAGCCCCGCAACAAAATGAACGCCACCGTCGAGAACAAAGCCACCCTGCCAAGTGAAAGCTTGAGCTTCTTCTAAAGAAATGAAAGAGGAAAAACTCCATGCCTTGAAACCAACATCTCGTCGCCAGGCACTCGAATAGTATGGGTTGGAGCTGTTCATCGGCAGCTCTACTATGACTTCGAAAGACATCATGTCGCCAATGCTCTTGACTAGCCTCGCGGCCTGAAAAAAGAGAAAAAACAAAAAGGAAAAAATAGGAAAAATTAAAGGAAAGAAAGAAGAGAGTAATACGAGAAAACAAGGAGGAAAAAACTTATACCTCGATCAAACCGGGTTCAAAGCGATAGTTTTCAGCAACAGCCCAAACCGGAGCTTGCGAGCCCATGCCACTGTGATACGATAAAACGTCACGCACATCCGAGAGAGCTGCATGTAGAAAGAATAATGGAGTTACGAGTGTTTCTCACAAACAACATTATAATCACGTACTGGGTCCAATGGGCTTCTCTTTGATGTCGATTTCGCATATTTCAATCACGATCAGAGCTAGAAAGAGCAGCAAGAGAGAAAAAAAAAACGCTAGTACCTTGAAGAACATGTTTACCCGACTTGAGAGCTCTCTGGACATACTCCAGCTGTGGAAAAGGCAAGAAGAACAAAAGAGAAGAATGAGGACCAAAGAGATCGAGTAGCGTTTAAAAACCTGGACTTGCGCTGGGAGAACAATCGCAACTGCATGGATGCTACTGTCCTCTAGAATTTGGATCAAGCCGTCTTCTCCCCACTTTGCTACCACATCTGGGAAGAACTTCGCGACGGAAGAGGCAGCGTTCTCGGCAGCGTCCTGTGGATCGATCAAACCAGAGACTTTCCCTAAGGATCGAAGAAAAGTGGAGGAGCTCTACCTTGGATCGGCTCCAAATGGCTTTGAGGATGGGCGCAGTGGAGCTTTGGTTGGAGAGGATAGGGAGGTACTGACTGGTCGTGAAGATCCCAGCGCCGAGGATCGCCACTCCCGGAACGCTACCCATGTGGTACTACTTTGCAGTAACTTTTAGGGAACACCCTTTATAAATAGATTTGTTTCCCTTTTGATTAAAAAGGGTTTGGTTTTGCTTAAGCGAGAGGTCGTGAGTTCGATCCTCACTGTGGGCAGTTTAAAACGACCCTTTAGGTGCTTTTGTGAACAGCAGACAATAAATGATCATCAAAGACAATTCACAAACTTGTTGCTAGGACTTGGAGACACATTTGAGTGAAAGGGAAGAGTGAAATAAACATAAGAGGAAGTAATGAGGAAACAAAAATAATGGAAGTAAAAGTAGAAACAAAGGAAGGTTGAGCAATTGCTATTTAAAAAGATGCTTGCACAAGATGAAAAGCCATTAGAATGGAGCTCAATTACTTATGTTCTTTTGATGGATATTTCCAATGTAACACTATGGGCAAAACAATTAAATTGCATTAATGTGAAGCTAAATAATTATATTAAAACTGCTATTTATTTTCTTATTAATTTTGATTATAAACCATAATTTATGTAGCATTTAAAATAATAATATAATATTGACAATAAAACTTATCTGTTCAAATAACTTAATATATGTAAAACATAATTCCCTAAGTCCTATATAAAGCTGAAGGGGTGCTATGTGGTAGTGGGTAAAATAAAAGTTTAATAAACATAATATGTTTAAACTAAAAATTTAAACTAAAAAAATTGAGAATGAGAATAAACTCTTAAAGAAGTAATAATGAATAACTATGAAAAGATTAATAAATTATTTATATAGGAACTATGGAGGTTGTGAGTAAAACTCTTTGAAATATATTTATGTGACTAAAATATAATAAAAATTTAATTATTTAAAATTCATTTTAGTTTAAACATATTATACTTGTTTGACTTTCACTTCAACTATTGCCATATAATGCACCTTCAACTTTATTTTGGGACTTAAAAATTTATATTTTTATAAGGATTTAATAGAAATTAAAGAAAGGATATTGAAAGACATATTTTAGGGCATCCTAATATTATGCCAATACATAAAACAAATGATAGTAATAGTGTTTTGACAGATACAATAAGCGATCACTTAATAAATATTAAGAAACTATTGTAAGTGTTCCCAACACTGATGATTACAAGTTAATGAATGAATTTCTCTTATGTTTCATTAATAACACTTAAAAATTCCATCCTTATATACTCACACAAGTGAAAACCAATTTTTCAATTAATTTGGGCAAAGATTGATAAAGGGAACTAGCAACACTAATTTTCTACCATCATGGTAGTAAAAGTTTTTTTACCTATAATCACATTCCCTATAGTAATATTTTTTAATCTAAGATGGTGCAATGATGTTTGGTTTCCAATAAAAACAAAAGCAACACATATGAAAGTGTATGAAAAAAGACATGAGATCTTGATAAAGAACAGACCATGCTAATTCCTTTGAAAGGGCTTCACTATTTAAGAGAGGCCAACATTGCTGGAGCCAATAAATTTAGTGTTCGAGGGAAATCACTGGTGATGAAGCTTTTTGAGCAACAGGGATTTGATATTCTCCATGCTCAGCATACGATACTCTACAAACAATTGCTGTAAAGCTGCTTAAGAAGACAAAACGCACTTCTTTGGCAGCAGGTAAAAGACTTGAAAAATGACAGCATTGCAAACAAAAGGCTTACAGTAGCGCTCCAACATAAATGTAGCACAATGCAACAAGGTCAACTACCAGACAAGCCATTACGTCAATCGGGATGGTGGAAAGCACAGGAGTACCAACACTTTGCACAGTGGTATAGCACATATGTGTTTGCTCGGAAGGTGACAAGGAACAGTTACACTCAAAGCTGTGCAAGCTACCAGCTGAGATATCCAGATTATTATACGATTACGGATGGACGGAGAAACAGCTGGTCACCAGATGCGATTGATGTTAGATGTGAGTTGCTCCAGGCTTCGAGGATTTATTGATGCAGCACATTTAGGTTGGTGCTGATATTCTTCACATTGGACCTAGATACGAAGTCGTAGTTTTTTCTAGCGGCTATTTTGGCGAGATTAACTTGCTCAATACAAACAGGAAGCATATGGAAATAACTTTTAGCTGTGTGCATAATCGACTGTTTTTTACAAGGATCTGCGATGAAAAAGATGGCCTTCTACCACAACGTTGGGAAAAGCAGATGTCTAGGGGCATCTACTGAACCATTTGATCACAAAAGTAATCAAGAGGTTTATCGCATATGTTTGTATTTTTACCTGGACGAGCAGCGCAGAGGCACTAAATTTGCCTGGGGCTCAAAGAAGATTGCAAGTCCCTGTGTGGCCTCAAACTGGATATAGGTTCTTCCTCGTGCCACCTCATCTTTACGAAATTCTTTTTGTCCAGGAGGACGAAAGTGAAGAATTGGGCGATTGAAGGAAAAGCTCACAGAAGACATGGGAGCATGCAGCTGGGCGCACTGTTCTCACTCACGACTGTGGTGAAAAAATAAGTCAATTGTTCAGTTCAATTGTGCTAATTAGGGTTTGCGGACGATGAAGCGGGTGCGCCAGGAAGGCAAGCTTATTATTCGTTTCAGATGTAGTAGCTTAGTAGCTTATGTTTTTCACAGAGCATGGCGAGGATGAAAAAGCGATCGAGGAAGGTAAGCTTCTTTCCTTTTCATTTTTCTTTGGAGTCATAGTTTGTGATGTTGCAGAGTGTATCGAGTTGAAAGTGAAGGTCGCACTGCTCAGTGCAGAAAAGGAAGACTGGAAGAAGAAGGAGGAGGATTGGAAGCGTAGAGAAAGCGAGCTCAAAGCAGAGAAGGACCTGTTGTTGGAAAGGGAAAGCGATCTCAGAGCAAAGACGGACCTGTTGTTTGAGAAATTGCGGAAGTGTAAGTCTGATTTTATTCAACGTCAGGCTTACTAAGTCGTTTATTTGGCAGCTTTTAATCCCGAGGACCCATGGAAACGAATCTTACATTCGTACAGACTGGAAACACTGCCTTCTCGTCAGTCACTTGCCAGGTTCTTGCAGATCGTTCCTGACGGTTTAAGCATACCGCTGGCGCCGTGGACTTTTACTAGGCTGGAAGCCACCGAGTCCGAGCATCGGAGAGCTTTTACTTGTGGAGAACCCGGTTATCACTGCCAGATGATCTCCAGGCAAATCGACTTGCTTTTGGACCTCTATGATAAGCCGGGGAAGATAGACTGGACGGAAAATGCGTGGATATCGCATTGGGACTCCTGGTTTATGGAGACCATCTCCTTTTGCCTGCCTGACGACTGTCCGGTAGTTACAGGCAGGGACACGTCCTACTATACATCTACAGGGACCAAGAGGCCACATAGCGTTTTGTACGTGCTGCCAGAATTGATCGGGGTGTTCAGGGGAGAAGAGAAGAGATGGGCTGGAACACTTCTGGCGGGCATTCTTTCTGGCAGCGGAAGTGAAAAGGCAAAGTCTCCTCTGGTCGAGCTAGAAACGAAGCTGGTGTGGATGTTTTATGGGCTGGAATATATACTGGGGTACGCTGCAGTAGGTCCAGAAGTATTTGTTGTGGCTCTACACGAGGACTCGACTGGACTCTATAAAATCGGGAAGTCACGCGCCCAACAACTTCTACACTTCAAAAGAGACACTAAGGGCAGCCTTCCAGAGATACTGATATGTCTGTTCAACATTGTTCGCATCATACCAGTGTTGGGCCGGATTTGCAGGGAACTTGGTGTTGAGCGAGACATCGTTGTCTTCGAAAGCCCACGCAAGACGGTTCGACTCAATGGCTTCAAGCCAGTAAAAAAGACGTACGATTCTGAGGAGGTATGTGCGCTCAAGCTCGAATGGCTTACTAAAGTTATATTGTTTTTGTAGGCTTGGAGGAACGTCCAAGAAATCTACGAGGCAATTGGCTTGGTGAATGAGATAGTAATTCCAGAGGCTGGAATCTTGCTGGATTCTCAACATGAATATCTGCTACGTGGTGCGAATATAGAAAGACTCATTGGACATCAAGAGCCCGTTCCTGGGAAAAAGAAAGGCTCTCACCTCTTTTATCCTCGGTTGAGCTATGCAGCTAAGCCGAGAAACGGGCCTGAGCTCATTGAGGCCCTGCTGGACACAATTAAAGCCTTGGAACACCTACATAAGCTTGGATGGATGCACAGGGATGTGAGGTGGCCAAACATTCGTCGGAGCTTTGATACAGGTGGTGGCTGTTGTCTACTGACGGTCTAATTGCCTTATTTTGTTTGTTCCATGCAGGGACATGGTGGCTTATTGATCTTGATGATGCAGCTATGTCTCCTCAATTGTCAGCTCCAAAGCACCTGGCTGCGGCTAGTCATGCGCCTGAGCTTTCTTTAGGAAGCGGGGAACATGGTAAAGAAGTGGATATATGGTCACTGGGATATTTGATCAGGTCGTGGCAGAGTGAACATTTCATTCGATCTGATTTGGACACCTTGTCGTGAATGTTGATGCAGACAGACCCAGCAGCTAGAGGCACTTTAGATGATGCTCGCCTAGAACTTGAAAGTATATACAAAACGATGTGACTATTTTGTGCTTGTGATAATAATTGCTGGACTTTTTAGGCTGTCAGATCCAGCCAATGCTGGGGTAACTGCCAAAGTGTTATAATTTATTTATTTATTTATCTATTTATTTATTATTATTATTGAGAAAACATTTTATTTGAGTTACTATTCAAGTATTTTAATGATATCAACATTATAACAAAGTTAAACAAGACCACTCTAAATTATATATTAAGACTAATATTTCAATAGTACCCAACCACAAATAACACATCATTAAGGAGTTAATTATCATGTAATGCAATATATACAACTAAATAATAACTAATATGCCAACATTAAAATCCATATAAACCCAAAAACACAATCCTTTAAAATACTTACTAATGAGTAAGTTGTAAATTTTGAATTTAAACTTTTTGGGAGGTTATCCAACCTAATACTATTCAAAACATTTAACCTTAACCTTTAATCAATTGAAAAAAAGTATTCATGACACTTTACCCTCTAAAATTGTTTTTTAATTTATTTATGTTTCCTTGCAAATCCATGCTCTTGTGAAAGGAAATTGAGAGCTATAACTTTTTCGAGAGCTTAGCTCTTTAAGTCAACCCCAACTAGAGTAAATTGAATATTTAACCCTAAATATCCCAATACTCTTAATCAATTAAAATAAATTGCTACGCCTTGCATGTGGTTTGCTTAATAGTAGTTTTATTATTATTTATTAATCCAATTGATCAAATAAAGTTTAAATTATAAGTATGTTTGTAATTTATAAACACAAGATTAATCTTATTTCATATCAACCATTAGATGATAGAATCAAAAAGAATATACTAGAAGTGGTTTAAGAAAGTTTATAGATTATAAACATGTTTATAAATTATAAATACAAAATTAATCTAAATGAATAACAACTGTTAGATGGTAGAATATCCTAGAATATCCAAGCATATTCTAGGTATATCCATTACCATCCCAGTCCCCCTATAGGTTTGCTTAAGCAAACCAAAAAGAGGGTGCACTCTTTTATATTTATTTTAAATTTATTTTTTTAAGTTGTTTTTTTTAGTTGTTTATAATCTATTATATTTCTTTGCAAGTTCATGCCCTCATGAAAAGGAGTTAAAACCCATAGCTCTCTCGGGAGCCTTGCTCTTTTGATACGGGTTAATCTCAACCAAAGCAAATTAGATGTTTAATCCCAAGTATCCCAAAACCCTTAATCAATTAAAAAAATGGTGCACTATTTATCTTTCCTTTTATATTTATTTTTAATTTATCTTTTAAATTTATTTTTTTGATTATTTATAATTTATTACATTTCCTTACAAGTTCATGCCCTCATAAAAGAGAGTTGAAAGCTATAACTCTCCTAAAAGTTTTATTCTCTTGACCCTTACCCCTAGTTGGAGCAAGCTAGAATTGTTAAACATCAATTAACATGTAGTGTGATTCCACACTATTTAAACTCAAGAATGCTTAACTCTAAATATTTTAAAACCTTTAATCAATTGGAAAAATGGGTGATTTTTATTCATAACCCTTTCCTTTTTATATTTAAACCTATGTATTATCTTTTAAATCATTTTCTTTAGTTGCTTACACAAGCCATCACTATTAAATTATAATTAAGCTAAATAATTGATTAAGTTTACAAGTAATCCTCTCTCCAATCACAATAGCACTTGCCACTTTAAATCTTACTTAGCACTTATTATCTGTGGGCCTAATCTAAAGCCCTTACAATACTAAACATCACCTTTAACTTCTCAAGCAATGATTATTTCATTATACAAAAATGACTTCTAATATCATAACATCAGCAACTAAAAGATATATCAAACTCCTTTTTATCCGAAGTGGCATCAAAACGGAATCACTAGAGCTCAGCTACTTACATTCTCCTGATGGACGTTTCCAGTCCAGTGACTCCATCGTTGGGATCACTTCCAAAAGCCTTCGGGCATAACGCACTTATACCGACGTGTTGAGGAAATCATCGTCAGGATCGTTCCCGAGGTGAAGTAGCATGCAATGACGAGGCCACCATCTTCGCTTGGTCTAATTCATTGCGCAGCTTTCTTACAAACTCGCCTCTGGAGCCATGAGTGACGCTGAGGATATCGAACGCTTTTGCGTAAGCTCTCACGGCTTCTGTGACACTGCCAGCGTGCCTGGAAACACACATCACCGATGTTTAGAAATCATACGTCGGCTCGAGATCTACATTTCAAGCTTCCCAAGTGTGTAGTATTGCAGCCCAAGCAATGGATGTTTGCTTCCAGGATATGCCGCTGGAAAAGAATTTTAACGCTTATGAAGGATATGAGACTAGCTTACTCTCATAAGCAGGAAGAGTAAGCCGGCAAACATGTAGTGCCAAGTCCCAATCTTCCAGAGAGAGATATACCTTCATCCAATACACAAACAATGAAAAGATTAGGCAGGTCAAGAACAAAATATGTTTCGATCATACTCTAAGCAGCAGGTCGCGTGTTCTCATCAGTTTCACTGATCGAGGATTCCACAACTCTGTCTGTAACTTCTCTGCCTGTTGAAAGGCCATCCTCGCGCCATGAAGATCTAAATGCGAGAAACAGAAATTATAAAACCAACTTGAAAACGATACAAGCATACCGCCAGCGGCTTGGAGACGGTTAGCCTTCTCAATCATACCCTCTGCTTCGGTTGAAAGTTTGTTCACTTCATTTGGCTCTCGACTAGAACCACACGACATGCATCTCCACGAACCTACAGTACTTTAGAAAGTTAATCCTGGAAATCTCGAAGCACATACCATTGGACAGACGCATAAAGCTTTCGCAGGCTGGATCCAGACAAGCCACGGCTTCGAGCACGTCGTCTTTGTAAAGGCCATCTTCGGAGTCCTGGATACGTCTATTAAGAAAAAGCGAGCATAAAAGATGCACGAGCTTGCGGACTTACATCGGTGCATCTCGGACACTTGCAATGAAAATAGTATTGGTCAGAAAGAGCTTCTCGACGGGAATTTGTACTCGCTCCCAGTTCAATGTAGCTCACAGTCACCTGTCCAACTCTAATGTTAGTATGAATTGAGCAGAGCATTCAGAAGACCAAACCTCACAACCTCTGCTGATGGTTCCGAGAGCTCTGACGACCGCGTGTTTGCCATCAAACAAGAGCAAAGAATTTGAAGAGCAGCTAAAAAGAGCACAAATGTGAGCATTCAAGTCAACTAAAATGTGTCAAACGCACCTGTGATTGATTACAGACACCACAGGAAAAAGTCCAATACCAACAGGACGCAGCTCGTCGTCGCAAATCGTATGACCATTGCATGAAATCTGCAGACAAAACCGCATCTTAGTAGCAAAACACTTGAAAGCGACGAACTCTGCAAATATCCTTCGTGATCTCCTTCACATCCTCAGCATATCTGGCATTCAAGATAGTCTTTATCAGGACAGCCATTTGAGCGTACATAACGAGCCTCTCATCTCCAGTCTCGGAAAAATCTGAAGTTAGTCAAGGACGAGCAAAAAGAAGGCAGTGAACATAACGAAGAAGAAAATCTGGATACGAGTTGGCAAAGCCCGGACAATCTCATAGTTATCCAGAGCAGTAACTGGAAGAACCTGGAACAAAACGAAGCGAACTTGTGACTGCCACTGTGATAAAAAAGAAACGAGAACAATACGTACACCAGTAGCTTGGAGTTCTCGTTTGACGAGAAGACGAAGCATTAGCAGCAAGGTAGGCCGCTTTTGTTCCGTGCTCAACCGAACCAAAACCTTACATTCTTCCTGATGGATCTTCCATTGCGATCTCTAAGGAATAGAACGTAAAAACTATTCTATCACATCACACAGAGTACCTGGCAAGTAGGAGAGCAATAAAACACGAATTTGCAAGCCGAGCAGCGCTTCAGCGCTGGAGATTGCTTGAAACACGCATCGCATCTGTTGCCTCTGGAATCGCCGTCGAGCACAGCGACGTAAGGATCTTGCTCCAGCACTGTCTGGCCTGGATAGAAAGAGATCCACGCTTTCACATCACAAATGCCGCAAAATCCTAGCGATTACCCGCATAGAAATCGCGATCCGCGACGAGGCATCGCCCTTTCTCGGCCGCATTGATCACGGTGAGTCCATCGTCCCCGAGGCGCGCTCGCAAATTCTTGTCCTCCTCCATTAGGGTTTAAGGGGGTTTTAGGGTTAGGGCGAATTTGGGCGCGATGGAAGGCGATGTGGGGGACATGGAGGATCTAGTGCTGGGCAATCGCTCGACTCATCACGATCATCGTCCAGTGATCGAGGTGAAGTTGCGAGCTAAGCGGCGAAATCCTTCCTCGGATGAATCAAAGCAAGCGAAACAAATTCCCGGAACGCAGGTATGGTGTCCTCGAATTTTAGCTCGTGTTTGAAAATGTGTGTTTGCGTGTAGACAATTTTCGTGAAAACATTTGGCTGCGCACACAACCAGGTACTGGGCTGCTCAAAAACTCTTTTCTTTTCGCCCTTGAAATGGATTTCTTTTCAGAGTGACAGTGAGTACATGGCCGGGCAACTTCTCGCTTACGGCTATAAGATATCCGAAGATCCTGACGAGGCCGACCTTTGGCTGATCAATACGTAAGTCCGTGAATCTCTCTTTTCTTCGTCTTCTTCTTCCTCTTTTACTTGCGGAGACGATTGTAAAGGACGCTTTTTGTACAGATGCACAGTGAAGGCACCCAGTCAGTCTGCAATGGAAACACTGATACGCAAAGGAAAGGCTCAAACGATTCCCTTGGTGATTGCCGGGTGCGTTCCTCAGGGAAGCAAGGATCTGAAAGACTTGGAAGGCGTGAGCGTTGTAGGAGTGCAGCAAATACAGCGTGTTGTGGAGGTGGTGGAAGAGACTCTCAAAGGTCACGAAGTCAAGCTGCTCAGGCGGAGTACGCTTCCATCTCTTGATTTACCCAAGGTTTGCCATGAGGTTTCAGGATAACCCGTAAAGAGGTGGATTTTCCTGCCCATCCAGGTCCGTAAGAACAAGTTTGTGGAGATTATTCCAATCAACGTGGGCTGCCTGGGCTCGTGTACGTATTGCAAGACGAAACACGCACGGGGTCATCTTGGCAGCTATAAGATCGAGGCTCTGGTAAATGCTAGCTTTTCTTTTCTTTCATTCTTGTGTTTTAAGCTTTCTATAACTTTTCTTTTTGCGAAGAAAAGGTGAAGAGGCTGCAAGGGGTTGTGTCCGAGGGTGTAACAGAGATTTGGCTAAGTAGCGAGGATACTGGAGCTTATGGTACTTTCTCTATTGGTTTCTAAGGACGAATCTAACTTTGCGTTGGTGCAGGGCGTGATATAGGGACTGATATTCCAACACTTCTTCATGCGCTAGTGGCAGAGCTTCCTCGAGATAGAAGCGTGATGCTGCGGATTGGCATGACAAATCCACCATATATACTGCAGCATCTCAAGGAGATTGCTGAAATTCTTCGTCACCCTTGCGTTTATTCGTTCCTTCATGTTCCCGTGCAGTCCGGAAGCGACTCCGTCTTGGCGGTGAGAAGCAATTATTCTTCTTCTGCGTCACAAAGTTTGGCAAGCAAGCATGAATTCATGATGATTGCAGGCAATGAAGCGGGAGTACACTGTTGCCGAATTCAAACAAGTTGCTGATACTCTCATCGAGCTCGTTCCTGACATTCATATTGCGACGGATATAATATGCGGGTTTCCAGGTAAGAAATAATGATCCTCTTCTCGTCACGACTCAAAATACTTGACGCGCTACTGCTAGGAGAGACGTCCGACGAGTTTGACAAGACTATGGAGTTGATAGAACACTACAAGTTCCCGCAAGTTCACATATCTCAGTTTTATCCTCGGCCAGGTGTGACGTTCTAGCGCTTCAATAATTCCCGCAATAATGTATCGACTGATGGCAGGGACTCCAGCGGCACGAATGAAGCGTGTTCCAACAGCCGAAGTTAAGAAAAGAAGCCGGCTGCTGACGAACTTGTTTGAATCCTTCACGCCGTATTCGGACATGGAGGGCAAAGTGTACAGAGTATGGGTGACCGATACTGCAGCAGACGGAATCCACCTCGTAAGCTTTCAAAGCTCGGCTTTTTTTTTAATATAGTTTTGTTTCCTTTGTTGATTCGCTTAGCACTGAAGTGAGCCTTGATTTGCAGGTTGGTCATACTAAAAGCTACGTGCAAGTGCTCCTTCCGTCTCTCCCTGGCCTTCTGGGCTCCAACGTTAACTGCAAGATCACAAGTGTCGGGAGGTGGTCCGTGAAAGCTGAGCCGTATCCATCCTCACTGTGCGATGGTGATCACCACAGCCGTGCTCCTGAAGAAGGCTCGTCCTTCGATCGCGATATCCGAGCTGGCCGTGGCGAGCAAGTTTGTGCGAGCGCTTGTCAAAGTGATTGCGATGCTGTAACAACGACACGAACAGCTCCGTGCTGCGATGACTGTTCGTGCAAATCTCACGCCGGAGATGACCGAGAGGAGGAAGAGTACAGGAGCACGCAAGAAAACGGAGGACTAAGACACAGATTTGAGGACAAAAGATCGACCTTGGTTGTCACGGCGGCCGGAAAGTCATCGAGTCGTGCCACCAGACTTTACTCCCTGGATTGGATTCTCATCGCCGGGTTCCTTCTCAGCCTCTGCACGACTTTGTTCGCTCTAAGCCGGCTGGTGAATCTTCTCAAGTGACGTTGCAGCTGGTAAGCGTTTTGTTTTTGCATTGTTTTCTAGTTTCTAAGCCGCCTAAGCAGTGGTTTCCAGCTAGCAAGTTGCCAAAGGCGGGACGAAGAAAAAAAAAACGAAAGCGAAGAAAAAGGAGAAGTGAAAACAGAGCCGTGCGTGTCAAGGATTCCGGGAGTACTTACGCGCCACTTTGTCCCAAAGTTTCTCCGAGTGGAACCTTGAAAAGCATGAGATCATGGACAACACGGAGAGTGAGGGAGACAAATGTGGCATCTTTCCTTCCTTTTTGGCGTCGTCAAGGTAGCTGTTTTTTTGTGATCGCCTCCTCGTTCGCTTGTTTGGATCCGTGGATCGATCTTCCCGTGAAGTTTTTTTATTGTTTCTTCGCTCCTCTCTTTTCTCTCTCGGGCTTACGCGAGACGTGACAGACAGCGCGCTAAAACAAAGTCCCCACAGAGGGCGTTTCTCTCGGGAATCGAACCTGGGACCTACCAGAAGATTTGGTTTGTCAAATTTTAGGGTTTATCGGAGATGGGCTTGCGATCGAGAATGCCGGATCCAGCCCAAGCGGCGCTGCTTGTGATCGATGTCCAGGAGTACTTTCGCGGCATGGCGGAACCGATCCTTCCGGCGCTGAATCGATCAATCGCCGCGGCTAGGGCGGCAGGGATCCCGGTTGTCCACACTCGCCACTCGCACAAGGATCCCTCGGATTATGGAATGCTGGGGGAGTGGTGGGATCGCAACATTCTAGATGGCACTGCCGGGGCGGAGCTTCTTCCCGAGGTCTGGATCGATCGCTAGTAGGAAATATTCTGGGGGAGGAGCTAATAGTCACAATTGGTGTGGATCTTTAGGTGGATCGACTGGATGGCGATAAGATTGTCCACAAGCGCACCTATAGCGGCTTCTACAACACCGATCTGGAAGATTTTCTCAGGAAGTCCGGTCGAAAGGAGGTGATCGTCACGGGAGTGATGACGAATCTGTGCTGCGAGACCACCGCCCGTGACGCTTTCGTTCGTGGATTCCGGGTTTTCTTCTCCACCGACGCCACCGCCACCGAGGAGCAAGACCTCCACGACTCGACCATCAAGAACTTGTCCTATGGATTCGCCTATCTCGTCGACTCCAGCAAGCTCGAGGCAAATCTCGCCAAGAAGTGAAACGAGGAGGCTGTGATCTTCGAGGCACCAGGTAAGATTGTCAGCTCTCTCGCGTTCCTTTTGTTTTCTCTTTGTTGTTGTTCATGGTTGGTTTTCTTGGGATCTATCACAGCTTTTGGTTATTCTGTCTTGCAGGCTAAGGCTGATTCCTCCATTATGCTTCTGGAGAGAAGAATATATATCTTTGTGAGTGGGCTGGGCATCAGTCACTGCTACACTGGCAAATGGATGCCCACCGATGGGATTGATTTTCATGGTACGGTGTTTGATTTTTTTCCTCGTAGTTTTATCGCTCGTTTTTTTTTTCTCAACCTTGTCGCTAATCAGTGGAAACAAAGCGTGTTCACGAGAGAAGAACCATTATTTCCATAAAGAACCCTAGAACTGGATCGAGAGGGATCACAACACAGGTGCATTGTTTTCGAGCGATCCGTGGATGGATGAATAGAGAACACCCATATTCTGATACGATCGAAGATTTGGGTAGAGCAACCGATGATCTGTCACGAACAATTTTCTGGAGCGATCGATGGCAAATAAAGCCATGTCTAACAGATTTCATTTAAAACACTCCTGGGCTTCGCTGGCCCGCCGCCCGGCCTCGCGCAATTTCTTAGAACCCTAAATTTAAGCTCCATCCCCCTAAATGCAAGTGCGCATCGCATCGCATCACAGCTATTTCTCAGCGCGCCTCTCGTAATTAATGGAATGGATCCATCAAAAACTGCTGCTGCGACTCGCGATGGGGGAATTGGGATCTCACTATCACTCCAAATTTTGCTTGTCGATTTGTGGGCAGAATGCGGGCGACATCCTGGCCGTCCGTTCTCTGGATAACGCTGGAATCCTGGCGCGATCCTGACCGCTCATCTCCTGGCGCGTTTCGCCCCTATGTCGACATAGATGGTTTGAAAACCACTGGGCCCCAGCGCGCCGTAATTCAATTTATGTTAACATCGTCGGGATTTATTCCATACGTCACGAAATTTTTTACGCGCGAACGCGCCTTGAACACCGTATCTCGCGGCGGAGCCGTTGGATCGCGGCGATGATAGCCTCCCGTACGGATCCCATGGTCTTTTGTACCGTTGGGAAAAACAAAAATGATAGAAAATCGATTGATCCATGGATCGGCAGCAGCATTGTTCTATGTGTTGATGAAAATTAAATTAAATATTGATTGGCTCATATGTGGTGGACAAAAGTGATGGCCAAATCGTGGCTTCCTTGTGGGATGGCCATGTGGCCACAATTCTCCGGACTTAATTGGCTTGGACGCGAGCTTTGGAGTCCGGCGTTGCGCCGCTGCCGGGAAGCTACCGGTCCGACCTGCCCGCGGAGTAACCCGAGCTGACCGCGTATCCGGCGGCCAGGATGGGTGAAATCCAACGGCGGAGCCGCGCCGGGATGGCAAGGGCTTTTAGTTCTGTGATGATGAGAGTAATAGTGTGTGGCTATGGCGGTATGGCGTCGTGAGAAAAATCGCCGCTCATCGACTGGCGCGAGCAAGATCTGGTCACTCTAAGGCTCCCAATCGCTACGGCGAGGGCGAATCGATCGGATTTCGGGGAGAAATCGTGGTTCCTGTCCAGGGTTTTGTCGCAGCTCCGCATTTTTGACATAGCGGTCGCGGCTGCGTGTTTTCCTTCACGAATCCCTTCTAAAGTAGATCGATTTTCCCGAGTCTTGTACAGATCTAGGCGAAATCTCTCTGAATCTCGCTAGTTTTTAGTCGCGTGCTTGATCGTTGTGCTATGCCAATCCTCCGGATCTGGTTTCTTGGAATTTGCGGTGGTAGTAGGCAATGATATGCATGGGCAACATGTTGCAAATGGGCAGCCAGCCGATAGCAAGGAAAAATTCTCTCCTCTGCCAGGAAAGATTTCTTCCTCGCCTCGAAGTGCTGCTATCGATTCCCCCAGCTACAAATCTTCTTCCTACTGTACGAAGGTAGCTCTTTCCTTCCAAGATTTTTGTTCTTCCTCTCTATCATTCGTGCTCACCGATCTCATGGCTTGTTTTAAATTTTTTTCTTGGTTCTATAGGACGGGCGAAAGATCGAAGTTGGCGAGTGCGCTCTCTTCCAGGCCGGGAACGCGCCCCCTTTCATTGGGATCCTTCGCAAAGTGACGATAGACAAGGATACGACTGTAAGGCTTAAAGTGAATTGGCTCTACCGTCCAGCGGACATCAAGCTAGCTAGAGGAGTTCCCATCGACGCGGCGCCCAACGAGATCTTCTACTCGTTCCACAAGGATGATACACCGGCGGCATCGCTGCTTCATCCGTGCCGAGTTGCTTTCCTGCGCAAGGGTGTGGAGCTGCCCTCTGGAGTTTCGTCGTTCGTTTGCCGCCGAGTTTATGATACCTCACACAAGCGCTTATGGTGGCTAACGGATCGAGACTACACAGATGTGAGTGGTGTTTTCCTTTCCAAAGTTTGGATTTTTCTTTGTCACTACTGATCTCTTCTCGTTTCTCTTTTTTTTCCAGGAGCATCAGGAAGAAGTAGATCAGTTACTTAATAGGACCAAATTGGAGATGCAAGCTGCTATACAACAGCCGGGTGCTCGATCGCCAAGAGCACTGGCTCTCTCTCACTCGGAGCATCCGCAAACTCCAGTCGGCGGCTCCAAAGGCAAAAAGAGGGAGAGGAGTGATTCCGGTCACGAGCCCAGTAGCAACACCGCCAACACCAACGCCGCTGCCGCTGCCACCCCCAAGCGTGCCAAGGCCGACGACTCCGAGTCGAGCTTCGTCAAGAGCTCGACAAAGCCGGAGGAGATCGCTTCCATTATTGACAAGGATGGTGGGCTCTGCAGCGTGGCAGGAGTGGAGAAACTTGTGAGCTTGATGCAGCAAGATCGAAATGACGGCACCCGGAAGCCGATGGAAGTGGCTTCGCGACGAATCATGCTAGCTGGTGTCGTGGCTTCCACTGATAAGCAGGAGTGCCGCGACCGTCTCGTCCAGCTCGGTGGCCTGGCCGTGCTCGACGACTGGCTCCAGGAGGCTCACAAAGGCAAGAGTGGGAGCGACTGCGGACACCCGGCGGAGCTGGACAAGGTGCTCGACGAGTTGCTCCTGACTTTGCTGCGAGCGCTTCAGAAGTTGCCCGTGGATCTCGACGCTCTCAAGTCGTGTCACGTCGGGAAGTCTGTGAACAATCTCAAGAGCCACCGGATGGTGGAGATCCAGAAGAAGGCACGAAAGTTGGTGGAGACGTGGAAGAAGCGGGTCGGGGCGGAGGTGAAGCAATCCGGGGAGAAGATGGGGAGCAAGCAGGCCCCGGCGAATGATCCACTCCAGCCGGTCGCGAAGGATGCCAAGAGCTCGACAAAGTTTGCCTCGTCGAACGGGCCCAACACGGAGGCGCCGGCCAAATCAGTTGGCTCCGCAACTTCAAAGTCTGGTACAACTGCAAGCTCCAAGGAGAATTCGCCTAACAACAGCGGTTCTAACGAGATCCAGGGTCTATCCTTGAAGGAGGAGAAGAGCTGTGCTAGCCATGCGCAGAACTACGGTCCTGCGTGGTCGAGCGCTCCAGTGACATCGGCTTGCAAGGAGGAAGTGAAAGCGAAGTTGACCCGCTCGTCCAAAGTTGATACTTCCGCGGCTGCCGCTCAAAAGGAAAATGGTTCGGGGAAGTCTGTGATGTGGAGCAGGACCAACGCGAACTCAGCCGAGAGGCCTGCTGGATCGGAGAAGTCCCCTGGCGACACTGATACGCCCCCGCGTTTGATACTGAGGTTTTCAAATCCTGGCAGAAGTCCAGCTCGAGCAAATGGTGACTCTCAGGTAATCGCCAAGGTATCTTCACCCAAGGTGCTGGACAGGAGTAGCTCTTCCGGTTTAGGAGAGGGTGGCGGCGGTCATGGGAAGGCCAGCAAACACCACGAGATCAGCTCGGACAAGCGGCACAGAAGCGAATCAAAAGGTGGAGGAGGGGGTGGTGACAAGTCTGCGGCTGAGAAAACCGAGCGAACCGAGGCCAGGAAAGCTTCTTCGGAGAAAGCAGCTCGAGAGAACAACGCATCTAATGTGGTCGACGGAGGTATGAGCTTGCTGGCTACTGTGGCCGCCGATGAGATGCTAAAGTGTGATGGAAGCTGCGTCACAGTGTCGACAGCACGGAGCGTAGTCACCGAGGAGATCAACGTGGAGCACGACAACTTAGGAGCAACGACGTCGGCTGCGTGTCCTGCCGAGAAGCCGGAGCAGCAACAGAAACCCAGCGCTCCGGAGAACGGTGACGTCAAGGATGGCGGAGCTCAAGAGCCAGTGAAAACGGACAACTTGAGGCGGCAGAGCTCACGGACATCGGATGATGTTTCGGCGGACGAAGCGAGACGTGGCGCTGAGAGGAATGCTGTGGAAGTGAAGCCCGCGGCCGAGAAGCCCCTGGATACTGCAAAGTCGGACGCTGCTGCTAAGGCTGGAGAGAGCCCGAGTTCCGAGGAGGATCCTCTCGAGGTGGCGAGGATGGTGGCGAAAGAGATCGAGGAGGGCTATGGCGGTGCAAAGCCACGCGCCGGTGCTGATACCGACGCGGTGGAAGAGAGCCAGCAACAGCGAGCTTCGGAAGAACAGGCAGCCTCACAGCCTGGAGCTGAAGTTTCTACTGCTGAGCCGATGATCACCTCGGATGAGAACCAGCAAGAACTCCAACCAGCAGCAGCACAGGATACTCCAATGGAGGAAGCTCTAGGCGAAGATGATAACGGAGGAGGCGAAAGTGGTGGTGGGGGTGCTAGGCCTTTGTTCGACTTAAACGAAGGCTTCCCGGCGGAGGATTCTCCACCACCAGCAATAGCCTCAGGACAGATGTTTACTCCACTTCCGACCAATCCTCTTCCGGCGCCACCACCTTTCAGCTCTCTATCGGCACCTATAGCAGTGATGGCTTCCACGAGGACTTTCATTCCTCCCAGCTCTTTGAAGGCCAGTAAGGACGCGGCCGGATGGAAAGGCTCGGCAGCAACGAGCGCGTTCCGTCCAGCGGAAAAGAAAGGAAAAGCTTTCCTCGACATCGATCTCAACGTAGCCGAAGGCGATGACTCGGGTTTCGGGATGGTGGCGGAGATGGATGCAGCTCCCGCTGCTGCCCGGAGCTTCCTCTCCGGCTTTCCCAACACTTCCTCCGCCGGTGGAGCCGAGAAGAAGGTGGCGGCGGCAGCGGCCTTGGATCTCAACCAGGAGAGCGAAGAAGGCGGCTCTTTACGCCTGAGGCCCCCGGGAGGAGCAAGCTCAAGCACATCAACGCTGAGAAACTTCGACTTAAACGACGGTCCGGCCTTTGAAGATCATCCCGCCGCTGCTGGCGTTGGTGCCGGCGGCGAGGAAATGTTCTTCAGGAACCTCACCACCAAGCCGAAAGCTAGCAGCAGCAGCAACCCGGTGATGAATGCCAACGGTGGAGGCGGTGAGCTTCTCAACGTCTCGTGGTTCTCCTCAGTTCCGGGAGCTGGGATTCCAGGCTATCCAGGAGTTTCCAGTGGCGGTGGCGCCACCACCACCGGAAGAACCGATCAGCAAAGCGCTTCTTACTCCACCCAGCAGCAGCAGCAGCAGCAGCATCCTTTCGTGAATGGAGGCTCCTTCTCGACGGACTTGTATCGAGCAGCAGCGGCGGCAGCGGCAGCAGCAGCCGGAGGTGGTGGCGGTGGTGCCGGCGTTCCATCATCCTCGGCTCTCGGAAGCTACCAGCAAAATCCTCAAGCGGCAGCGGCAGCGGCGGCAGCAGCGGCGCTCTACTCGTATCCAGGCTTCTCTTTCAACTCGAGCTTCCCATTCTCCGCGGCGGCGGCGACGTTCGTGGCTCCGTCACCTTACGTCGCGTCCTCGTCCATCCCAGCTCCATCGCTCTCGACGATCACCTCAAACTCGGGAGCTTTTGGACGGCCGCCACCTTACTTCATGCCGGGAGATCACGCCGGAGGAGGAGCAGTGGACGCCTCGTCTGGCTCGGCTGGAGCTTGGGGAAGGAGGAGCTTGGATCTAAACACTGGGCCGGATCCAGCAGTAGCGGCGGCGGCGGCGGCAGCAGCAGCGGCGGCGGCGGCGGCGGCGAACTTGAGCGATCATCATCCGGATCAAGCTCGGCAAAACTACGGGATTTCATCGCTGGACGAGCAAATGCGAATGTTTCATCAGGCCTCGGCGATCAAGAGGAAGGAGCCAGAGACTGGGTGGGATGTTTACAGAGGTTACACGAAGTGGCGCTAGCGCTACGATAACGAAGAACACACACACACACACACACACTCTTCTCTCTCCTGTGTAAACAAAATCTTTTTCTCTTTCTCTTCGCTACTTTATAGTGTAAGATACTTTTTAAAGGGGATGTTTTAAACGAGAAACCCTAAAATTGCGAAGAGCCCTAAAATTTTGTGGAGCTCAGCTATGGCCACGGCGTCTGTGCGCATCGCGTCGCCCCGGGACGTGCCCTACATTGCGTCCATGATCGCGCAGCTCGCGAAGTTTGAGCGCCTGGCCGACGCCTGCGTTGGCACCGAGGAGCAGTACCGGTCGACGCTCTTCAACGCGCCGGCGTTCCAGGGCCTCACTGTGCTGCTGCTTGAGATTTCGCGATCCAGCGCTAGCAATGCTGCTGCTGGGGACTGTCTGGCTTCTCAAGGTGCGTGGTTTTGGCCGAAATATCCTCAGGCATTCAATCGAAATTTTGTTCCAGAAGTGGAGATCGGCGCCGAAATAGCCGATCCAGACAAGGATTTCTTCACCAGCGACAGCGGCAGGATCGTGGCTGGCTTCGTGCTGTTCTTCCCGAATTACTCCACTTTCCTGGCCAAGCCGGGTCTCTACATCGAGGACTTGTTCGTCAGGGAGCCGTATAGAAGGCAAGGACTTGGAAGAATTCTTCTCCGGACAGTTGCCAAGGAAGCTGCCAACCGCGGGCTTGGCCGAGTGGAGTGGTGCGTTTTGGATTGGAACGAGAATGCTATCAAGTTTTACCAGGAAATGGGGGCCCTCGTGCTGCCCGAGTGGAGGATTTGTCGCCTCACCGGCGATGCATTGAAGGCTTATGGTACGTAATTGTTCCACAGCACTTTCTTTGTCAGTTCTTACCGGTTTTTCTTTGACAATGAAATGGATTCGATTTGTGCGAGTTTTTCTTTCCTCCGCGATTTGATTTCCATAGAAAGCAGAAAAGCTGGGAATCTTTGGTACTCCTTATTGTGGGTACGTAGCGCTCATTTCAATCACCAGACATCAACGCGTTTCTTTGTTTACTTTTGAGTTTTTTTTTTGTTTCCTGTTTTGTGTAGTTCAAGCAAGCAGCTGCTGATAACATGACTGACGAGGATCGAGTGAGACTTCACTCGCAATTTCAAATAGAATATCAGCAACTTGGAGTTTTCTTCAGACGACATCTGTTGACTGCCACAACTAAATGCGTCCAAACACCAACGCCACGAATGGTCTTATCCAGGTCGGTGCGAGCGCTATGACAGGTTTGGGATGGAGAGTCCTAGAGACACAAAACCTCCTTGGTACGTTCAGTTGTTTTGTAGCACTTCCCGATTTGTTTATTTCTTTTGTCTGCTTGGGAAGTTTTACAGTTTTCGCTTGGAGAGGTCGCGAGCTGCAACAACATGCATTAAACGGCTGGTACGTAACTTTTTTGAGCCTGAGGTCTAACAACGTTCCATGTGTTTGCTCGTGACCGTTCCTTATGCTGCTGGGACTTCTTATGTTTTAAGCAACGTAGATTTTGGCAAGATTTGAGGAAGCTTGTGCGTTTTCTTTCTGTTGTCTTCTTTTACGTGCATTCTGGTGCTTGATCGACGACTGATTCACTCAGCATGAAGTGGTTCAACCCTTTGGAGGGCTTCATCGATGCATCACTTTTTCAATCTCATTACAAGGTCTCCGGGGATGGTTTCCAGGCGGCCGCCGGTTGAGCTTCAAGGTCCTTGGTGCTTTATGATCATCACCTTACTGTGTATGATCATTTTGTTTGACAACGTGAACAAGTATGCTCCTTATGGATTTCTGGCTCCCGTCATCTATGCTGGTATTTCTGTGCTGAATTACCTTTACTCGAGCTGGTACTGACTTGTTTCTGCATTTGATCAGGAACAGATAATGCTACCAGTGAAATCCATAGCGACGACAATCGAGTAAGAATTCTGCTAGATCTTTGGAGCAAGACTTTGGATCAAGGTGCTAGAGCCGCGGGATCGGATATACCAGCGCCTCACTTTCAGGACTGTAAGAAAAGCAGCGAAGACTTCACCAGGCTGGACTCTCGCCAACACGATGGAAGGCGACCCCTGTGGACACTTTGGAAAGGTGCGCTCGGTCTAGAGCTGGGAGGGGGCTTATCTGTTGAAGACGATGGAGAAGAAATGCTCTCGACCAAAGCCAGATTACAAGGACCGTACCCGCCTTGGGTTAGTAGAGCTTACTTATACTTTTTCTTGATTGGGAGCCAGCTAAAGGTCGATCTCTATCTCGAAGATTCAAGGTGGTGACGAGGACAATCTTCCTTTAACTCGACGAGCACAACGCGACATATGGCTCAATCAACATCCGCGAAATTGCAGCAGCGCAAAGTTCCTCCTGGCAGACTGGGAAAGCCAGAAGACTAGGAGCTCAATTGGTGTTGGTGCGGAGCTCGTGGCTATGACTGGACTTCTGGCAGTTGCCTTGCGAGAAGGAAGAGTTTTAGTAACGAAAGACTACCACGGAGCCAATCACAGCGGATGTACTGGTACGTATACTGTGCCTTGTGTCATGTAAAGAACTGATATCTGGGCAGGGTCAAGCCATTCGCGGTGGTCGTGCTACTTTGCAGCAGAAGCTTCAAACGAATGCATAGATCGTGCATTAAAACTTTCCATGCTAAAGTCTGCGTGGCGAGAAGGAATACTTACGAGCAGCAAGAACTATCCCCCATTTATCGTTTGGAAGGAAGTGCCGGTTCCAACGTGAGTTTTCTCACCTATCTTTGTTTTCGTCTTTCAAAGCCCGTTTTGATTTTCCTATTGCGTTTTTGAAGCACCTGGGGCAGACCATGGGAATCGATACAACGGACAGTCGAACTCGATGGTAGTCTTTTGTCGGGTTACAAAGCACAAGACCGAAGATGGTGGAGGACTCAGGTATTTATTGATCATTTTTTGTACGTCGTTTTCAGATCTTCTGTCTGTTTTTTTTTTTTTTGTTTTCTCTGAAGGCTCTCCGATACTTGATGCGGTCTCCAAGCGAAAACTTGTGTAATTTACTCAACCGTGCTCGCCACGATGCATTTGGAGTTAAAGCCGCCGAGATAGCTTTGGATTTAGTTCCACGAGAATGGCCAAAGGTTTGTTTTTTGTGCCAAGTACCGCGTCTCGTAACGTTTTCTACTATATAGGTACAGTACGCTCAGCCGGAGCGGACACCCATAGAAAAGCTGGTGTGGAGTAGTCTGGGACCATGGATTCCGCGGCCTCTTGTAAGCATGCACGTTAGACAAGGAGACAAAGGCTCGGAAATGCGAGTATTTGCGTTTCCGGAGTACATGAAACTCGCAGAGCATCTCAAGCGGGCGTTTCCTCACGTCCGAGGCATATGGCTCTCCACAGAAATGGAGGTAATTTACATGCATATAGTTTGATATAGCTTAAATGTAGTGTTTGTGCTGGACAGAACGTTGTGGAGGAAAGCCGGAGCTACACGGACTGGAACTTCTACTTCACCAACATCACAAGGCAGTCCGGGAGCACAAGCATGGCCGCGTACATGGCTCAACTGGGCAAGAGACGTAACTTTGACAACGCCTTCGTAAACTTGCTCATGGCAGCCGAGTCGGACTTTTTCATTGGCGCGTTGGGCTCGACTTGGAGCTGTATCATCGATGGCCTGCGCATGACGAGCGGCAAGACGATGTCGGGCTTTCTCACCGTCAATCCCATCAACGAGCTACTTTGATCACAGCAAAGGTTTGCGTTGTTACATTTGGAGTTCTTCCAGCCGCTACTAAACGTACAGGACGAGACGAGCGGTGTGAAGATCCGAGGCTGGATGATTGCAAAAGCCCTGCTGTGAGTTTCTTTGCAACTCGGATTTCTCAAAAAAAATCTTTTCATCTCGTTGTTTACATTCGCTGTTGAGCGTCAACTTTGTCGCTCCATGGTCCGGTTAAAGAGTTCTCGCAGCCTTGGGGACACTTGCAAGAGCCACCGAGAAAGCAAGGGAGGTTCTCTGGCGCGACCACGCTGAGCAAATCGGCCAGCCCGTTCCCCCTGTGGATCCCAATTCTCTTTTGCGTTGGAACATCGATGAAAGGCAAGAGGATCTCCCACAGCACCTTGAAAGCGGCCGGAGCATTGACGATGATGAGTCGGCCGAGGTACTCGGGATAGTAGCGCGAGAAGATTTGAGCCATCTTGATCAGCACCCGGCGTCCATGAGCATTGGTGATGGTTCCCAAAGGCTGTGTCACAGCAAGCAAAGGTATCGATCGATCGATCATATATAACCAATCTATGTGCTTACGATATCTTTGAGATCCACGATGATTGTAGCGCGGCCAACTTGGTGGCCAGCGGCTTTAGAACACGCCGGTAGCTTCACTTCGTGGAGCTCTTCCCACACCCAAAGAGCTCTCTTCAAAAGTCTCTCCTCGGTGGTAGCGTGGAACACCTCCTGGATTCTCAATCTAGAAGAAGAGAAAGATCTTAGCTATGGTGATTGATCATCTCTTCTCTTTCTTTTCTCTCTCTCAAAAGTAGAAACGCTTTCAAGTACCTCGAGAGAAGCTGGATGTTGATCGGTCGGCCAAATCTATCAGTCTTGTGCCAGTTTTGCGGCCAAGCTGCCAAGACAGCATCCAGCTCCGGGAATGTGAATGTCTGGAAGGTCACAAAACACACAGCGCATGAATCGATGCATGGAAGGAAGACTCGATCGATTGGATCGCACTTGGAGCAAGGAATCGATGTGATTATCGCGGCGCCACTTGACGTAGTCCCCGTAGATCTGGGCGGCCTTGCTGATGTCGAGCGCCCTGGCGCGGAGGAAGCGCAGGAGCGTGTGATCGTCGCCGCGCTGCGGGTAGTGATAGCCCCGCGCCAGGATCACGCCCTTGAATCGCTTGAGAGCGAGCGCCTCCTCCTCGGTCACTGCCTCCTCTTCCATTGCCCATCCAAAACCCTAGCTCCTCGATCCCTCTCTCTCTGCGTGTGCCAGCTTTTGACGAACGACAGCTCCCACGCTAACCTGGAAATCGTCTGCCAGAACGTTCGACATTGTGCCACGCTGACTGCCCATAAAGTGCCACGTGGACTTCTTAGAACCTGCCACGTGGACTGGACCCCAGATTTAGGGTTTAGAAGGGGGATTTCTAGAAGCCGAGGCGCAATGACACGAATGCTTCCAAATCGCGCCACTGTGGAGCGTGATTTTTTAATCTCCAGTGGATCGATTGTTATTGTTATTGTTCCATTCGTGTTTGATTTGGCTTTGTCGCGGATTCTTTCTCGCTGCGCTATTCACGGGCATCGCATTTGGATCGACTCTCAGGTAAGGATTCTCTTCCGTGCAAACGCTGTGGAAATTCTTACCGAGCTTACGTGGGTTACTAAGACTTTGTTTCGTGAGAGCTGAGCCAAGTGTTTGACTTAAAACTCTTCGTACCAACGGCTGATTGTTACCTTTCTCTCCTTTCTCACTTTTAGGAGATCATGGAAGGTATTGAAGTTAGCGGCAACTCCAGGAAAGAAGTAGCATCCGAGAAGACCGCTTTTGACAAGAAATCGGAGAGGCTCGACAGGACGATGGAGGACAACTCCATCTCCTCCGAGAAGAAAATGGAGGAGGAGAAGCAGGCCAGCGTCCCCTTGCTCAAGATCTTCGCGTTTGCCGATGGTGTCGACTGTGCTTTCATGTTTGGGGGAACTATCGGAGCTGTGGCTCACGGAGTTGCCCTCCCAATCTTCCTCCTCCTCTTCGGGAAGCTGCTCAATAGTTTTGGAAGTCTGGCCAGCGATCCACAAGAAATGTATCGCCAAGTATCACAGGTACTTCTTTGACTCTTTCTCTCTTGCTTGAAACAGCTCTGTTCTTCTTCCAGTACTCTTTGTACTTCGTGTATCTGGGAATCGCTATCTTGTTTGCCTCCTGGGCTGGTTTGTAATCTATATGGCTTTTGCGATCTTGGGGAGCTAAAAGCTTTTCTTGACTGCAGAGGTAGCGCTTTGGATGCAAGCTGGTGAGCGTCAAGTCTCCAGAATGAGGATCGTCTACCTGGAAGCCATGCTCAAGCAAGACATCTCTTACTTCGATCTCGAGGCTCGAACAGGTGATATCGTTGACAATCTTTCGGGCAACATGTTAACAATTCAAGAGGCAATTGGTGAAAAGGTGAGTTTTTCTTCCGGGTTTCTTCCGCTAGCTAACACAGACTGTTCGTGTAGATGGGAGGATTCCTACACTTTGTCAGTACATTTATTGGCGGATTCGTTGTCGGTTTTGCTACCGTTTGGCAGCTTGGCCTTGTAACTTTGGCCATTCTTCCCGTGATTGCTGTAGTAGGGGGATTCTATACCAAAGCTATCACAGGGATTGCGTCAAAAGGCCAGGCTGATACTGAGCCAGGAAACATTGTAGAAGAGGTATTTTTGTGTTTCTTTCGTAGTCTTTAGCTTGTAGAGTTGACGTATGAGAGTTAAAGTTTATTCTTTTCTTATTTCCAGATGACCGCTCAAATACGTACAGTTTACTCCTTTGTCGGTGAAACGAAGGCCCTCGCTGCTTATACAAATGCTCTCAAGAAATCATTGAAGCTGGGATACAAAAGTGGAGCTGCCAAAGGCTTTGGAGTTGGAGGACTGTATGGAACCATGTTCTGTGCATGGGCCTTGCTCCTGTGGTACGGTGGAGTCCTCGTCAGGAAGGGAGATGCCACCGGAGGCTCGGTTTTGTCGACGATTTTCGCCGTTCTTATCGGTGGTATGTAAGTATCATGCTTTAATACTTATCGCTCCTGTGAAACTTAGAGAATGCTTTCTTTTCGTGTTTTTTTCCTTGCAGTTCCTTGGGACAGGCCTCTCCGAGTATTGGTGCTCTCGCTAAAGCGAGAGCAGCGACGCAGACAATCTTAAAGGCGATCAATCACAAGCCAACTATCAACACCAGCTCGAAAGGCGAAACACTATCCATAGTTGAAGGACGTGTTGACCTCCAGGACGTGCACTTTAGCTATCCCTCACGACCGGATATAAAAGTCTTTGAAGGCTTTTCTTTATCGATCCCGGCAGCAAAATGTGTTGCGATCGTTGGCGGTAGTGGCTCAGGGAAAAGCACGGTTGTGTCGCTTATAGAGCGCTTTTATGATCCGAGCTCAGGTAATATTTCAGTTCAGTCTTATGATTACATTACTCACTAATCTGACTTTCTTTTATCAGGGAGAATTCTTGTTGATGGTCACGACATCAGAACTTTGGATCTCAAATGGTTAAGATCTCAAATCGGGCTTGTAAATCAGGAGCCTGCTTTGTTTGCCACGACTATACGAAACAATATCCTTTACGGTAAACCATCAGCAACCAGGGAAGAGATCGAGGACGCCGCAAAAGCAGCAAACGCTCACAGCTTTATCTCACAGCTTCCAGACGGATATGAGACTCAGGTATGCTGTGAATTAGTTCGCAGGGAGAAATACTTCTTTTCATTGCTTCGATCTTCCAGGCTGGAGAGAGAGGTGTCCAGCTCTCGGGCGGTCAGAAACAACGTATAGCAATCGCGAGAGCCATCTTGAAGAATCCCTCCATTCTTCTCTTCGACGAAGCAACCAGTGCTTTGGACGCAGAGTCCGAGCATGTTGTCCAGGATGCTCTGGACAAGCTCATGCACGGACACACGACCGTGATCATCGCGCATCGTCTCTCCACGGTTCAAAACGCCGACACTATCGCCGTCGTCCAAGAAGGAAAGATTGTGGAGCTTGGGACTCATGACGAGCTGTCCTCTAGAGGTGACGGGGGAGCATACGCGACGTTAGTACACCTCCAAAACATGGCCAGAGAAGTTGCTCGAGACGAAAGGTTTGAGAAATGTTGGATTTTTAACGTACTATACTTTGCTCTCTGTTCTTGCAGGCAATCTCTCAAGTCTCAAGCTGGATCGACCTCGATGAGAAGAAGCAGTGCAGAGCATAGCGGCCTGATAAGTTTTTCAAGAGTCAGGAGCTTCATAAGCCGGCAGTCAAGCACAAAGTCAGACGGACTGGTCGAAGGTGTTGAGCTTGAAGCGCACGAGAAAAAAGGCTCCTACTTCTTTAGACTCCTGAAGCTCAACGCAGCAGAATGGCCATTTCTTCTTCTCGGAAGCGCAGCGGCGGTTGTGGCGGGGCTCGTAAATCCGGTGTTTGCGATGATCATCAGCAGCGTCTTAAGCATCTATTACAATCCGGACAAGAGCTACATGAAGTCCGAAGTGCAAAAATACTCCATCATCTTCGTCTGCATAGGCGTCAGTGTGGGGATGATACACTCCCTCTTGCACTACTCGTTTGGAGTAACTGGAGAGAGCCTTACAAAGCGTATCCGAGAACTCATGTTCACAGGTACTATAGTTTTCTCACTTATCCACAGATTTTCTTACGTTTTGTTTTTCTTTGTTTCGTCTTATAGCCGTCACAAGATTTGAGGTGAGCTGGTTCGATCGTGACGAGAACGGCAGCAGTCAGATTGCCTCCAAGCTATCGACCAATGCGGGTTTTGTTAGAGCCACCATGGGAGATAGAGTTGCTATTATCCTCCAAAACTCGTCACTCTTGGTATCAGCTTTCCTTATAGCGTTCATTGTGGAATGGAGGATAGCACTTGTCGTCACTGCTTCGCTGCCTCTACTCGTCGCCTCGGGCATCTCGGAGGTACGTGGTTTACGTGATGCTTCATCTTTCGCGGCTCTTTAAACTTGAATTTTGTGTACTATCCAGCAAATGTTCCTGAAAGGCTTTGCCGGGAACATTGAAAAGGCTCACGAGCGAGCTACCAAGCTAACCGGCGAGGCCGTGAGCAACATACGAACGGTGGCAGCATTCAACGCCGAGGCCAAGATGGTCGAGCTAGTTACTGACGAACTCGAAGTCCCGAAGAGGAGTAGCTTCGTTCGAGGACAGATAGCGGGAATTGGCTATGGTGTCGGCTCCTTCTTCCTGTTCGCCTCGTTCGGTCTCGGGCTCTGGTACGCCGGTTTGGTCGTCCGAGATGGCAAAGCAAGCTTTGGCAACGCCATCAAAGCCTTCCTCGTGCTGGTTATCACCTCCAACGGTATAGGGGAGTCACTCGGCTTAAGTCCAGACATTGTGAAAGGTGGCCAGGCTCTCAAGTCGGTGTTTGCGATTCTGGACAGAAAAACAGAGATTAACCCGGACGATCCGAGTGCCGAGACTGTCAAGAACATGAAGGGAGAGATCGAGCTTAGAAGCGTGGACTTTTACTATCCAACAAGGCCGGAAGTTACCATCTTCAAGAACTTAAACTTGAAGGTTCACATCGGCCAGAGCCTGGCGATAGTTGGAGCTAGCGGGTCCGGGAAGAGCTCGGTCATCTCACTAGTCGAGAGGTTCTACGATCCAGTGGCAGGGAAAGTTTTGGTGGATGGCAAGGACATCAGGCTCCTCAACTTACGATCATACAGGCGCTTCGTCGGCCTCGTCCAGCAAGAACCGGCTCTCTTTGCGACGTCGATCCAGGAAAACATCCGCTACGGCAAGGAAGACGCGACGGAGAGCGAGATCATCGAGGCAGCAACAGCAGCAAACGCTCACAACTTCATCAGCGCGCTGCCGGATGGCTACAAAACCAGCGTCGGCGAGCGAGGAGCGCAGCTCTCGGGTGGACAGAAGCAAAGGGTGGCGATCGCTCGAGCAGTGCTCAAGAACCCGACGATCCTCCTGCTGGACGAGGCCACCAGCGCGCTGGATGCCGAGTCGGAGCACATCGTCCAGGAGGCGCTGGACAGGTTGATGAAAGGCCGGACGACCATCGTGGTTGCTCATCGCTTGTCCACGATACGAAACGCGGACAAGATCGCGGTGATCCAGGATGGAACCATCGTGGAGCAGGGAAGTCACTGGGAGCTCGTCGCGAAAGCCGATGGTGCTTACTCGCATCTTATAAAATTGCAGCAGCAGCACAGTTCTCCGAGCTAGCTGATGAAGAACACACACACAAAAAAAAAAAAAACCATTTTTTTGTCAACTTCTCGGACAAAGTTCTTGGTTTTTCTTTGGTTTCTTTGATACCAAGTCAAGAGCTTTGAAGATCTCATGTTCGATGAACGAGTCTCGTCACATGTCGAAGATGCTGGATCCTGGGCAGACAACCGACAAATCTCGCAAAGAAAGAGAAGAAGAAAAAAAACACTAGCGAGGGATCTCGCTACTTAGCTGTGATCTTCACTTCTTCTTTTTTGTGTGTAGCTTGGCTGGAAGAATCAAATTTGCAAAAGCTTAGAGATTTCTTTGTTTTCTAGTTTTCACCTCCCTGGAAAGAGAGTTCTCTCTCTCTCTTACTCGATCGTTCTTCTTCTTTGAGCTAGAACGCTCTTTATCTGGGATCCTCCAGTGGAGGAAAGTTGATCGTTCCATACGCATTGTAATGACTAGAAGGAATGTAAGTGGAAATGCCAACGCCAGTGGCTCCAAATCTTTAGGGCTCAATAGCGATGGACCGCCCTCATCCTTGGCGCCGCTCCACAAGCTCTTCTTCTTTGCCGATCGATGCGACCACTTGCTCATGGCGCTGGGATCGCTCGGCGCCATCGCGCACGGCCTGGCGCTGCCGATTTTCTTCTTCTCCTTCGGACGATTGGCTCATGTTCTTGGATCGGACAAGGATCTTCGGCACATGTATCACAGCGTGTCCAAGGTATGGATATTTCGTTGTGATCTCTCGTGATCGTGCTCGCGATCGATCAGGTGGCATTGGATTTCTTGTATCTGGGATTGATCCTCTTTGGCGCGTCTTGGCTAGGTAGAGGGATTTTGTTCTTGAAAGAATGGGAGGAATTCCTAGCTCTGATGTTGCAGAGGTTGCGTGCTGGATCCAGACCGGAGAGCGGCAATGCAGGAAGATCAGGATCAGCTACTTGGAGGCAATCCTGCGGCACGATATCTCGTTCTTCGATCGCGACGACGCGAGGACTGGGGAGCTCGTTAGCAGCATTTCCTCCAACACTTTGCTCATCCAGCAGGCTATAAGCGAGAAAGTGAGTACTTTAATAGCCTTTCTTTTTTATCTCTTTCGCTTTCATTCAATAGTTTGTAGATGTGATGTTTCTTCCCTCTCTCTTTTGCTCTTTCGTAGATGGGAGTCCTCATCCATCACGTTTCCACGTTTTTTGGAGGCATCGCATTGGGATTTGCAACTGTGTGGCAGCTCGGACTTTTGACGCTGGCAACCGTACCGGTGGTCATTCTAGCTGGAGGTCTCTACGCTCATGTCATCACTGGCGTTTCATCGAAGACCCAGAAGGAATACGACAAAGCGGGAAACATCGTTGAAGGAGTAAGTACGTAGACTTCCAGACTAAATTTCTTACTCCAGACTGACTTGCAGGCAATTTCTCAAATTCGGACAGTCTATTCGTTTGTTG